GTGTGCAGCAGGTCTAACAATGGACAACAGACCAAATACCAGACCTTAGACAGACCCAAGCCATTATCGAGAAACAATAAATCAGCAAGCTGAGCCACAAATTCAAAAAAAAAAAAATTAAATAAATAAAACAAAAGAAAAGAAAATCAACCAGAACAATGCGCAACAACAAAACCAACAATCAAAATAGAGACAACAACAATGGCAATGCCAACAATTACAAAACCATATAAAAGCGAATTCGATACGAAAATCTAAAGCGGAAATTTTGTAAAGCTGTTTATGCTGCAGCTGCCACGCCCACTTGGGGAGTCTAGTGAATGCATTGCGAAAAGACTAAATTCAAATTGTAAGTCAAAATGGGCGGCTCCAGCTGGAATCCGCTTTGGCTCTGGCTCTGACTCTGGTCATGGCAAATTGCCCTGTTGTTTCAAATGTTGCTCCACCAGCTGCCCTCCCCTCCTTCTCGAGCCGTTTGTTGTCGCGCATTCTAAGTGCCACCCAAGGCCATTGCGGGGCTCCCGAAATACAAACAACGGAGAGCTCGTGATCTACTATGTAAATTTCGAGCGACATAATTGCGCAGATTATGTTGTATGTTGAATGTTGTAGTTGTTGGGATTTTCCTCATGTAATTGGACAGCTGATAAGCAGCAACGCCCACAGTCGAGTGGCGACTTTGACATTAAGCTGTCAGACCACAAACCCACAAAAACCAATTTGAATTAAACTATCAGAAATGAAAAATACTTCAAATTTTGGGAATTTAAGGCTTCCAGCAACAATGAAATTCAATCAACATTGAATAATAATTTGACCTTGTGGCAAGTGGGTGCACTTTGCGTTTTGGCTCTGAATGTGGGTCGGTTGGATGTTGACTGACGTGGTGCAGTTAATGAAATTGGTTAATAGAGTGCTTCAGACTTGCCGGATCTTATCAGCAAATCAGAAAAAAAATATAAATCGAATTGTAAACTGGAAAAAAACTAACATATACTCAAAAGAGCAGTTTACACAGTTTAAAGACACGCATATTTTGATTTTATATTCTGAAACTGGTATGCGTACGATTGCCGTCATTGAAATTAATCGTAATATCAGATTTGAATACAAAAAAATATATATATATAATTTGTGTGCCTCTCGGAATTTTTTTGGATATCATCAAGCCTGCGCTTAATTCGTTCGGGAGTAATTAGATTGAAGAACTATGTCTTGTCAAATGATTATTTATTGCATACTTTTGGGTTATTTTTCCTTCGAAGCTATTTCAATTGATCAAAAAATATATGTATATTAATGAACATATTTGTAAAAGATTAAAGATTAGTCTCCCTTAGCGCGCTACAAACTTGATGACTTATTTATGATACTCTTTGGAAGGGTACAGAAAAGCTATGCGGCCAAACTTTGTGGTATTTTAATTCAACGATGATTTCTGTTTGTAACCACGTTTCAAGGTCAGCTCAATAGAAATTGATCAATTTAAATGCAGTTATTTTTTTTCAAGCAGATGAAATAATGCGAGTAGCAATTTTGATTTGGTTTTCATTATTATTTGAAGTTTTATTATTGTTGCCGTGAAGTCAAAGAAATATGCGCCCCAATAAGATGCTAATTATCATTTATGTATAATTAATTTAAATTATAACTTAGTGTCTGCTGGTTAACTTAAATTGGTAACAGACAAGCTGATCCATTTAATTCAATTGCGCAAAAAAAACCCCACATACAAATACAAATATTTATCTGACAGAACGAAAGACTCAGGCAACGAACTTGTTTGGCCGTTGCATACATTACAAAACCAAAAAATTTGCCACTCAATCAACAGCAGCGACAACAGAGACGGCAACGCACACAAATTGCTTTAATTGCAACAAATTTTGCGAGAACTCCGGTATCAACTTGAGAGGCTCGTGGACCTCGCATGTGGGCAAGCAAATGGAGATTGCTGCTGAGGCTCGCCAACGGCCAACTGCAATTGCGCGAAATACGTCAACAATTGTTAAGCTCAAGCACCCGCAACTAGAAATATGTATGCCCCAGCCTCAAAACTCCAACTACAATTCGAAGCCCAACTTTAACTCCAATTCCGACCGAGACTCCGACTCTGTTTTAAGCTTACCGAGATACGATTATGTTGATGTTTTTCGCTGGGGCGTTTCTGCGAATCCGGTTGAGGCAACTGAGGTGGTCCAGTAGCAACTTCTAGCCCTCGTCATAAAGTTCCTCCCATTGCACTAATAGACCGGATCTAATGCGAAACGAGTGCGCAACTGCTGCATGGGTCTGAATAATTAAATGAAAAGGAAACCAACAATACGGCAAAACTGTAATAACAAAAACACTCTGACAACAACAGCAAGAGCCACGTTGTCGGCTAAACGACAAAAGTTTGCACAAATTTGTAATTGTCATCGCTGTCTGACAAAACCAACTACTATCACAAGACACTGACCAGCACAAGGCACAGTGGTTGTAAAGTCACGTATGTGAATGTAGTTTAATAATCTAAACATGATATAAGCGGCAATTGAACATAAAGTTGACAAGTTGAAAAAGCTTGAGTGAATTTACTATTACCACAATTTTTATTTTGAAATATACATATTTCTAGTATATTCAATTATTTTTGAATAGATCCATCTTCATTCTTTTTTCAATGTTAAAAGAATCAATAAATATAATAAAATGTAAAAATAATAAAATAAATTATATACTGCAATGAAGAAAAAAATCTCAGCTTAGATATTCGTTTAAATGTTAAAAAGCACATGATTAAATGTTGTTAAGACGAAGTCTACCATTTTATATTCGAAATTAAAGCATTTGGATTAAAATGTTCGAAACACGTATTATCTTAGATCTGATAAAAATTGACCATATTCCAATTTAATGATTCGTTACCCACTCAGCAAGTTTTTTATTGTTTTTTTTTTTTGGTAACAACATATTAACGGAGACCTACCCATTTACACAATCATCAATCATAAGCAAGTAACAGATTATCAAAGTGAATTTTCCATGGCTGACTAAAATTCAATTAATTGGGCACAGTGTGCGTCATTTTTGGTAAACAAAGCAGTAATCAGATCGTGCTCTAATTCAGGCAGCATTGCAGTTATCGTTGTTGTTGATTTTGTTGTTGTTGTTGTTGTGGTAACTCTGAAAATTCAATGAGATTTGCAGCTGTTGCAGCCGTCACAGTAAGTAGTTGCCTCTTGTTGAAGTTGTTGTTTTTGTCGCGACTGTTACTGATCCGTTACACGTTTCTGTTGCTGCTGTCACTGTCGTGCTAACCTTGAGATGATTACTTAAATTTTTGTACAAGTACTCCGCACTCTGGCCAGCCAAGCAGAGTCGACACCCTCCCCGCAAGCCCAGTCCTTATGCCCAAGTTGAAGCTACTAATTCGAAACAATTTATTAAATGAGCCAAATCGGGGCAACTACAAAGATATTCCGACAGTAACAAAATATTTATGACATAAAACAATGACAAACGACAAAATGACGCCTGGTGATGTTTATGGTAATCATAATAATGTGGCGCCACATAACGAACCACCTCACCCTCCATTCCTGTCCTTCAACCTGCAGCTTTATAGCTCATTTGCGCAAGCGCCTTTTTTGGTAATAAACAAAACGGCCTACATGATAATTAAAAATATAGGTATGCCACATGAAAATTAAATGAATCATGTGACGCGGCGAGGTAGAGGGGCGCTTGCAGGTGGCGCCCAACACAAACATTGCACTGCCAGCAGACAAGCAACAACAACAAGCGCATGCAATTTGTGCAACATTATGAGAAACACTACATCCGCCCACCAAAATGTGCTTAGAAGCCATTGTTCCATTACATATATTTAAATATATATATATATATATATATATATATATATATATATATATATACGATATTTATTGCTAATTTCTAATTTGTTATGCGAGGGAGCAGCATTTTGAGAGGTCATACCAATTAAATCGTGATGTCAGATGAAAAATCAAAAACTTCTGACTTTTTTTCATAGATTGAAATTATAAATTCATAAAATGCATTTGTATTGCTTTTATGCGCGATTCGGTGTAAAAATATATTTGATTGGTGATTTAATAATTGATATATAATTAAATACATTTATTTCCATTGTTATTGAGAAACCTTATATAAGTTTTTGCTTTTAGTTTATTCTTTTTAATATATTCTATGATTTGGAAGTTAAGCTTTTCAAATATATGATACAATCGCAAAAATTATAATTGAGCTCGAATTAACTTGAATATATTCTGAATGAATATACAATATATGCTTAAACTTTTAATGTCAAGACTTTTGTTAAATATTAGATATATTTTAATAAATATATTATTATCGCACAAATGACCCTGACTATTATTTCGCATATTAAAAAATAGATGCAAAATAAGATTTGTACACAAAATAAATAGTTTTGTAAATCTTTCAATTCGTGAGTTACTTTAATGTTTTCGTCTTAAAATGTTGGGCTACTAAATACTAGAAGAGTACATTTTAAAAATAAACGAAAATCACTGATATATATTAAACATAAATCGATTTAGTCCACGAACATGAGTAATTTCTGTTAATATTCGAGTCAAGACACAAACCGCAGCAACTGTAGCAACAACAACTGTGGCAACAACAATGCCTCACTCCACTTACTTAAATCTAACTGAACTTCACTCTCGTTTTCAACAAAAAGGCATAAAATAATTGCTAGCCACAGTCAGCGTTGGCAACGTCGCGACGTCGACGTCAACGTCGACGTTACTTTGATGTTTGCTGTTGATGTTGTTGTTTCTGTTGGTGCGGCAACTTCTTGGGCTTCACTTGCAAATGGCAATTGTTGTTGTTGCTGCTGCGGCTGCTGTTGACCGCTCGCTCGTTAACTTGGCTCGTTCGTTTGGTAATCGTGGCTCGGCAGCTGCTCGGGCGTTGTCTTTGTATATAAAAGCGGCTTCCTTCTTGGTTCTAGTTATCAGTTGAATTCAGCTCAACGTATCGCATACACGCGTCTAAACAAATCCAGATCCAAGCAAACAAAAAAAACAAACTCTAAAACCTAAAATGGCTTTCTTCAAAGTGAGTGTTGAAAACAGCAAGTTGTAAAGCAAGTGTCTGTAAAATTAACTTTGTGCTCTATTTTCTTGTGACAGTCCCTGATCTGTTTGGCTGTCCTGAGCGTTGCCTCCGCCGGTGTCCTGCACGGTGGTCCTGCGCTCTACGCTTCTGGTCCCGCTCTCGCCTACGGCGGCCATGGACACGGACATCAAGACGAGGGTCTGGACTATCATGTAAGTATGCCAGTTGTTTTTTAGGCCAGGGTTGAGATGCTTTGTGTGCATTTGACATTTGGAATTTTCTCACGACTGTCGACGCTATCCATTAGCATATTGGCCAATTTGTTGGCGTGATTCTGACTGCAGGTGTTATTGTTATTGTTGTTAATTTCATTGGCAGGCCTATCCCAAGTATCACTACAACTACGGTGTTGCCGACTCCCACACCGGTGATGTGAAGTCGCAGCATGAGGTGCGCGATGGCGATGTTGTCAAGGGCTCCTACTCTCTGGTGGAGCCTGATGGTTCGGTGCGCACTGTGGAGTACACCGCCGATGATCACAATGGCTTCAACGCTGTGGTGCACAAGACTGCACCCACTATCCACCATGCCGCACCAGCTATCCATGCTGCTCCTCTGGCCGTGCACGCTTCTCCCTTGATTTCCCACGGCCCGTCCATTGCTCATCATGTGGCTGCCGCCCCAGCTGTGCCATATCATGGATCCCATGCCGCTGCTGTGCCCGCCTACGGTTATGCCACCCACAACGCTCACGCGCATGTCGCCCACTACTAAGGAACCCTAAGGAACCCTAAGGAACCCTACAACAGAATCAACACCAGCCACCCACTCAACCACAAACACAATCAATCACACACGTATTTTTTCATATTTATTACGCACATGACAACCTCACCAATTGCTCCTGTTTGAAGCTGAAGCCTGCTCAATACTCAAGTCACTCACTTTGTAAATAACCGAACATGCAGCCGCTCATTCCCTCTTGCTCGTGCATGAGCTGTCTCTGTCTCACACTCACGCATACACGCACTCACACCACTACCAGCTTTCGTGCAATTCTCTATGTTATTTAAAATATAACTCATATTTTGTATATACTGCAAATACCCACGAAAATCTACGAAACCACGAAAACATGTCATTGCATAAACGAAGAAAGAAGATGCTGATCAAGATGCTGATCGAGATGATGATGATGATGATGATGATGATAATGATGAATCTAACAAGGATTACAGCATGGAATATACACATACATAAATATAAATTTGGGAATTTATATTTAGTAAACATGTCTCCCTAATATCTGCCTAATTTAAGTTAATTGAAAACTGCGACAAATGCTATAAATATAAAATGTAGTAAATTACAAAAATCCAAATTCCCACGACTACCTTTATTCTCAAAACAGATCTGTAGATACCACAGCATATAATTATCAGCTGCCATTGACGTGAGCGCTTTCAATTTATACAATTTTAATTGTTAATCATTTACAATAATGGTTACATTTCAAATCGAACTAAGTTATGCTAATTTTAATGTTCATGAGTAATGAAGTAATGTTATATTATTGACATTATGGGTTAGCTGCTAATATATATGTGGAAATTGAAAGGTGAACCACATATAAAATACACAATTGAAAGTATGAATGCATATTTATGCACAAACTGATTGTGGTCAGAATTATTATTAGTAATTTCATTAAGATTCTGGACATAAACAAGTTAAGCTAGACTTGCATTTTACTATATTTGCATATTATTTTAAAACTGCTTTTGAGGCTGTTAATATAAATTTAAAATATCTTATGTCCCTAATCCATATGGACATCCAACTCTCTAAGCTGAATCGGTCTTTTTAGCCATGTTTTTACTGATTTCTGTCTAAACTTAATATTATTTTCATAGATACAATTTTCATTAATTTTCGCAAACATAAACCAAAACAATGTTATTATTTTGTCTTAAGCTCTTGCGTTTCACACTTGAATGCTTATAATTTTTTTTCCAAAATGCAAAGCTTTCATTTAAAACAAATATTTAACGCTCTTAAAAATCGTTAGATGGCGTTACATTTGCCACTTAAACTTTGTATACTTTTGGGCTTACAAGCTTTAGGTATTTTTAATGATATACTTTCAAGCTAAAGGAAAACCATTTTTCATATGTATGTGTACATCTCATACAATATTGTTCATACAAATTCGACAGTTGATTAGAAATTCAATAACATCAAAACTTCCCAAACTCTTTTTTTTTTATGATTTAAATAAGGAGTTTTAATTGTAGCAGCTTAATGAATTTAAAATGTATAACTTGAAGCCCAGTTCAGCTGCAAGTTCATATTTAAGTCTTGGCTTCCATTTTCTAATTACACGCACTTAATCGGATATTATATACCACAGACTATCATCTTTCATATCATAGACATCATTCCCTTATTCCCTGGCAACCACAAAAAAAATCGGAAGTCTGCATCAGTGGTTGTCCTCTTGCTAGCTGACAGCCGCAATGTGGTCACAAGCTTTTGGGGGCGTGCTTCATGTAAATAATAAGTTAATAAACATTTAAAGCAAAGACGATAAAGTTGCTTCCGCCTGCAACAAATCTTCGCATTTCCGTCACTTTTATATGTGAACTGCCATAACAACAACATCAACAAAAACGACAAGAAAGCGAAATATTGATCTCTTAATAGGCACCTCATGGAAATATTTGGACAAATGTGTGCCACTAAAAATGCTAAATCTGGCGCAAAAATACTCTTGAGAGACTAATTTATCATTGCCTGAAAATCAAAAATCAGCGAAGCGTTTAAGTGTGCTCTAAAGTAAAACAATACAAATACGAAAAACCCAAAGCGAAAACTAACAAAAACTAATTCAAATTTTACGTGCACTCCATTAATTAGATCTGGCGCATAGTGAGAATCTTAGCAGCTGCCCTGTGGCCGGATTCTTTAACATTTAAGGTCATCTTTTTACTTAAATGACTTTTCTATTATACTACAATATTATGTGCTAGGAAATGCCGGAAGGAAGTTCCGCTAACTGGCAAAATTCAAACGCCCCAGCGTTACGTGCTTGCCCCAAAAACTTACGTAAAGCCAGCTCAATGTCTTTCCAGTGACGGGCCAAAATAGAAATAAATAGAAAAAAATAATTAGAAACGAGTAGTTGCTGCTCCAATAACCTTTAGCAACAATTAAAGCAGAAATATCAAAGCAGAATACACAAGGTATGCAATCTTCTTCATCAATAAATGACAGTTACTAACGACTTTTTGTTGCACTTGGCCAATTGATTCAAGCAGTTGACATTCAAGTAAGTAGCTTCAGCCATCAACTGCCTTAGTAAACTGCCCCCAACACGTGCTCCTCTCTCACTCGACTGGCTATCGAGTTGGATTGAATTGGATTTGTTTCGGTTGCAGTGTGTCAGTTAACATTAAGATACAAGTTGCAGATATGCATCGCTACTCGTAGTTGTTGATACAATTTATAGATAATCAAATACAGCGCCTGATTCTGAGACAGATGCGGCGTTGGTAATATAAATACTAACAGTGGGCTCTTGGTATAATAATGGTTTAGAAAAAATACATTTATATCGGAGTATATGTGTACAATTTTGAAACTATGCTTCATTCACACTAAGCTAAATGTCCCAATTATTCTGTACAGTGTTGCATTATTGATGTATAATAAAAATTAAAAATAAATCGATAATAAGATTTTTAACACCTTACTCCTAAAAATACATGAAATATTTTTCTTGCCATTCCACTAGTTTTTTTCCACTATGCATTGTAAATGTCGCCGCCTGTCTGCGTAATTGAAAAATGCCATTAATATTTAACTAATGCATTACAACGACTACAAGATCTGAGCAACTAAAGCAACTAAGCTGACTGGGCAGGCATAATTGGAGGTATAAGCGATTTGTAGTTTTGCTGCGCATAAATAAACAGCATTTCAACAGCATGTACGGATCTGTGGGTATATTTATTCACTAGAGACTAGCGATGAGATATATATCTGATGCCTTTGGCATAATCATCCCAGTAGTTATGCATGCCGCTTGTCAGTATTAATTATATAACAAAAAGTTAACTGGATTATTTGAGGGTTAATTTGATGCATGACAGGTAGTAGCAGCAACTAAAGGCAACAACAACAGTAACATTTCAGCATTCAGCAACAAATTGGCTAAAAAGGTGCAAGAATTCATTTCCATCTCTTTCTCATTCGCTAACTACTGAAAATTTATAGTATCTCCTCGGGTCTGGAAGCCATTAATTTGCATTTTATTACAGCGCATCGCATTTGCCACGGGTCATTTTCATGGCGCGTTACAAGCGCTTGTTAACAATGGTCACTCAATTGGCCCCGGACACAGATGCGGCAGTTGCGGACGCACTGAAGCATGCCCAACTAAGCGACAACAATGATGCCCACCACCCACACAACCTACACCCCAAACGCGAATCACTTTCTGCGCTCTCTTTGTCTCTCCATCTCTCTCTCTCTCCGATGTCTTGCAACATTCGCACCTTGAAGCCATCTTCATGTTGCAAGACACCGTGTAGTAGTACCACAGCAATGCTCATTGCCCATTGTCAAATTAGTCTGTGTAAACAAGCAGAAATTAGGTGACCAACAGACAGTACCAAAAAAAAAATAAAGTAAACCAAGTCAAAGTCGCCATCATCGTCATCGTTACTCAAATAGCTGCCTTGGCCAGACGTCTCCCCTACCTCCCGTCTTTCCCTCTCCCTTGTTCGCTTTTTATTTAAATGTGCGTCTTCATGGGAGTTGGCACATATTGAATTGCATTTGACTCCAGCTTGTGCCAAATGGGCTTGCAAATTTGCGCCTTTCAGGGCACCCTTTTGACTGCAATTGTTCGGCTTGATATTTATGATAACAACCACGACTCTGAAAAATATAAAATAAATAAAATAATAGTGGTAACCATACATATGTAGCAAAGGTACAAACAGCTTAAATTGACAACAAATTTCATGAAGGAACTTTATTTATGATACGAGTATATGATAAAACTTCATTAACAACTTTATTGCACATTGTTTAAGAACTGTGGGGCAAGTGAGCTTGAAAACTGACTGAGATCACAGTATAGTTACATCTAGATATTTACCGAACTTGCAACCCAAAAAAGATTGACTGATTATTCACACTCACATAAAAATATAATATTTTACAAGTTTATGATCTATAGTTATGCATAATGCCTTAAATTCAACTCTGTTATGTTCTTTTAAATGCAGATCTTAAAGTTATACTTTATTAGTTATTACTTATATTTCAGTTCTCTAAAAAAAATATCATTTTATTATATTTTTTCTGCAATGATTCATATTTTTACGATCTACTTAATTATAATGCCTTAAGTTAAGTTAAATTTATGTTCTGCTTTTATTTTCGCAAAATATCAGAATAAACATAAAAATTCCACTCCCACATGCCACGCTTGCATCGTTAACATGAAGCCAAGCTGCACGCTACATTTAACATAAACCTATTTGTATTTTGTATTCTTCAGTTTGGCGTGCACGTTAGTTTTTATTCTGGTAGTTAGTTATATTTATTGTTGGCTAATTGCCAGCATTTGTTAGGGAGAGACAATGCAATGTTGAAGCCACGCACATGTGTCATGTGGCTGCTGCTGTTGTTGTTGCTATTTGGTTGCCTAAAAATCTGTCAAGCTGCATATGGAAAACCTTCGGAAAATGCCGACAATCATTTGCTGATTTTCCCAGCCGCTTACGAAGACTCGAGAGTCTTGAGAGTCTCGAGTCTTGGGCATCGAGTTATCATGTCTGCGTAGCAAATGCTTTGGCGGCGGGCGCAAACATGCAAATTGACTTAATCTAGTATTTAGTTGCTGCCGACAAACCGCAGCCCAAAATCGTTTTCGAAATTCAAGTCTCAGTTAGCAATAGAAAAAAGAGTAGCCAAAGAAGGGGGCGGTGATGTGGAGACAATTGTATGTATGCAAGTGCTGAAGGTTGTTCGCCATCTTTTTTGGGCAAGCAACGAAAAACCATTTTCGGTTGCTTTTCGCGCACTCCTCGCAATCTAATTAGAGTCTTTAGTACGCCCCTCGTTTTTAATTATGTGAAAATGCTGACCTGGGCATAAACTAGCGCATATTATTAACTTGAGCAAAAGGTCCACACAAATTATTTTAGTTGTTGTTTCTGTTTTTTCAGCGACTCTTGCGGTTTGTCAATATTTCTAATAATTTTGTGTGCTGCCAACCTCAATTGGCACGTTCTCAACTTGGTTCAAGGATGAGCAATACTTTATTTTACACTAAAATTGAAATTGTTTCAGCTTATAGCCATTTACTTGCTTTGTTGTGCTCTGTAATAATAAATCACTTACTTAAAGCCATATGTATGTATTCCTAGCACCCAACTTATTGTTAGAACAATTTTTTATACATTTTAAGTAAAGTTAAGTTTTCAGATCAGATATATAAATTCTATTATATGCTATTATATAGCTGCTTTATTCTTTGTAAGATTTTTATTAAATGGAGTGCATTGAAAATGGAGTGTTTAAATTGGCATTTGTTAATCTTTAATTAAGATAAATATATTATGTATATTGGCCGTGGGAAGAATCACCATAAAACACCCAAAACTAAAAGTTTAATTACGAATCCTGAAACACAATGTCTGTAGAAAGTAAAAGTTGTGATAATTGTATTCTACAAAATATTGTATAATTGTTATAGTCTATTAGACTTTATTGCGTGTTATTTTAAATATGGAAATTGCTCTTAATTAATCATTGATTGTTGAGCAACCTGAGAATAACCACTCAGCAATATTATGGATATAAATTAGTTCAAATTGCTCTGGTGTCATATCTTTTCACGTTATATTGCTTTTGCGATTGCTAGCAACTTTTGTTTTCATCCACTGGCTAGAATGGAACTGAGTTTGAACTTTGCTTGCCGCGCTTGACCTTCAGCATTGATGCTAAGACAGAAAAAAATCCAAGCACAGCAAGAAGTAGCTGAGGGGGGCATCAACTTATGTTGGACTTTTAGTTGTCTTGATTTTTTTTTATTCAAGTAGATCACTGAGAATTTCGCATGTGCCAAATAACTAGGGCTTTTTTGTGTTTATGCAACAACAATTTGCAATTGTTTTGGCTGTAACTTGACCCTATTTTGGTTTTGGAAGTCAAGACATATTTTATTGTCAGCGATTTGGTTTTAGAATTAAGTTGTTAAATAAATTGCTTTTTATTGCTATACTATTTGTTATAGTCGAGGGCAATAATTATTGGGCATAATTTTTGTCGTATTCGGCTGCAGTTCGTTGCCTAAGTCATTCGTTTGAACCAAATGGAAATTAATGATTAAGCTATGATTAATATCATAATTCTGAACCAACCTGAAAAAAAAGTGACTGGCTGGTCGGATGACTTCATTATGTGGGATAAATGGATACAGAGATACACAATGTATCTGTCGCCAATTTGCACTGCTTACATACGCAGACCCCATTCAACCGGGTTAGTGTAGCAACATCCCACTTTGTCCATGCTGCAACTTCATTAACATGGCCCCTGACTAACTAGCGCCATATTCACCACGCCGCCGAGATGCTGACTTCGCGACGCTACGACGCTACGACGTCGACGTCGACCGCCACAGTTGAGTGAGTGAGAAACTGAAAAGAGTCTTAAAGCCGCGACTGCGCAGTTGCGTCGCTGCTTTCGCACATTTTGCGCTTATTTAAATGGAAAGCCGCTTCTAGAATAGCCACAGTATTCCGGTGAACTTGGCGTTGTTTGTATCTGTTGCCGTTGCAGTATTGAAAGTAAATCCACATGGTTTTTAACTAAGGATCTGTGCAAAACTGTGTGTGAACTAAATTAATTTTGTGTGTTTTGGTTTTTTATTTTTAGCAAATTATTAAACCCAAAAATCGCTTGAAAAATACTACAAAAAATCTTTAAAGAAAATGGCAAATTTCATGTGCTTCGTTATCCTCTCGTTGGCTTTGTTCGCCACTGTGGCCGTAGCGCGACCAGGATATGCTGTGGATTATTATGTGAGTGACGATTGCCGAGATGGAGTGTGCCAAATATGCATTCATATAAAAAATCAAAATATAACTATTCTCAAAAATAGCTGTAATAAAGAAGGACCGAATATTTAATTTTAAATTGAAGATTGAAAGATTTAAATATGAAGTTTTGCTAAATTTGATGGAGACGCAGACTAAAGCATGATTATTTAACATTTTTTCAACTTAAACATAAATCTGTATATTCAAATCAGAATATTCTTAAATCAATTATTTATCCGGATCATGAAAAATAATATTTTTAAGTAGAGTAAATATTGAATATTGAACTGATAAAAAAACTTTGTCAACACAATATAACTAAAGCGATCTTATTTTAAAAGCTTTAAAAGTCCTTTCAAAACTCATATATTTGGTTTTATACTTTTGTTTGTTTATCAGGATCATCCCAAATATGCCTTTAACTATGGTGTGGCAGATCACACGACCGGCGATGTTAAGTCCCAGCATGAAACCCGTGATGGAGATGTTGTCAAGGGTATTTCAAATTCTAAAGACAACTCCGGCAAAACACTCATGAATATCTTAACCCAATGCAATTTCCTTGTCTACTTCCTCTTTCTTTTTTCCATACAGGTCAATACTCGCTTGTCGAGCCCGATGGTTCCATTCGCACTGTTGACTATACTGCAGATTCCATTCATGGTTTCAACGCGGTTGTTACCAAATCTGGCCCCACTGTGCACGCTCAAGCGTTGGTCACGAAGCCAATTGTTACCCACAAGCCCTACCTGACCCACTATGAGCCGCAGCATGTGGCTCCTGTGGCTGCTCCTGTTGTGGTGGCCGCCTCACCGGCGCCCTATGGTGAGTTAAGAGTTTTGTTTTATGATAGTTCTTTTATGAACTGGGTTTGAAGTTTATGGAAAAGCGCACTCACTCTCTTTAGCAGCCCTCACCAAATACACAGACGCACTACCAGCTAGTTATTGTTGTTGTGGTTTAGTTTAGAGTTTCCACAACGTGTCTGCAAACTGATTTGCTTGCCTCTTGCTCTTCTAGGCATGAACACGTATCGCATGTTAAAGCTGTTCAGGCGTAACGCAAACTTTTTTAACAATCAATATCGCAAATTGCGCCCAGACGAATACGAATACGATGATGACAACTTTGATGCAGCTACTCAACTTAATATAGTCAGACAGACAACAGCGGCGGATGCAGATATCGATGATTACTATGCAACCTACTGATTCAGTAGCAATATCATTAACAGCATCAGTTCTCCATGTTAATCAGAGTACATATACGCATATCATTACCATATTTCTATTATAATACATACTCGTTTGGGCTGATATAATACCTGTTGCATTGCAATTAGTTATTGAGTGGTGTGCAGTGGGGCGACTAAGCTGAATCATCGCATCGTGAAGCGTATAAAACATTTCATAAGCGTTTGCATTTGTTGACTAATGCACCAGTTTTGCTACGCCCACGCGTCTGTTCATTATGTCATGAGTTAGTTTTCCGCCCCTTACATTGATCGGAAAGATTAGCTCCGATGTTTTTCGCTCATGTTTTGTTTGCACTTTGCATTCGCTCTCATATTTTCCATATTTTCCCACACTAATTATGTTATGCAGCATTAGCAGCATCTTCATCATCATCATCATCAACAGTATCAGTGGTAGACAGTAGTGCTGTACGGAAAATTGTGTTGCCCATTTCCATTTTCAAGCCAAAGCCAACATCTTTTCTCAATGTCGCAATGTTGTGGATGTACATGGGAATTGAAGTTGTTGTTGTTGTTGTGACTGCATGTGAAAATTATTTTGATTGTGACTGCTATTTTTTTCAAATAATAATTAAGAATCGCAAAGAGCGCGCGCACAAAACACAAAACGCACCCCACACAAAACAAAAGACTTAGGCAACGAACTTCGTCAGCGATTTACATGCAAAACAAGCCCAAAAGGAAATTACAGCACTAGCGAAAAAAAAAAATACAACACCTGTGACCAATTGACTTTGGTTGGCTGCAAAATTCGTGACAAGCAAAGAAATGCATTGAAAATTATTTCGTCAGCATTGAAATCTTTGTAAAACTAAACTAGTTTACAAACAATAATCACAACAACAAAAATCACAACAGGCAGCTGTTGAATTTACATTTTTTTGTTGACTCATACTTACACACAAATTGTAGGAATTTTAGCTTAATAATACATATTTTCAATCCGTTTGTTTTTGTTTTTTTCAAGTGTCCAAACATTATGCGACTGCTGCTGCGCCCATTCACTACGACTACGATGATGGCTACTACGGCAACACCTACAACCAGGCTCAGTATGAGTATGTGCCTCAGTACGATGCAGGACACTATGGTCACTATGCGAGTCCCTATGCGACACACTATTAAGGACCTACGAGAAACACTTGCGATTTAGTACTCTAAGCGAATTTAGTTTGTATATTTTCGATAAAACTCGACCCGGTTGCAGTTGTGTGTGGTTTGCAAAGCGCTCGTTTTGAGATCCACATGCTGTTAACTTATTATTTCACATATGACATTGAAGCTGAGTAAGATAATAATGATATGGATGCTAGTTTAAGTTGTGAATTTTGCTGTAAAAATAAAGTTTCAACAACATAAGGGAAAATTATACAAAATATTTCGATGTTTTTATTTGGTGGACCAGTTAAACTAATAATACTGATAGGATGTCTGCTCTGGATAAATATTAATTAATTAATTAATATACTATATAGACTCCATATTTGCTTTTATTGATTTCACACTTCTATTCCGAACATTCAATATTTGTAGTGGGTAGAAAAATTATCTAATATGTAACTGCATGTGAATTGATTTTCATTTAGTTCACATGCCATTTTAAACTTGTAGGTCATTAAACAATATTTTCATTACTCATAATTATCGAACGCAGTTGAAAACGCAACAAGTGTCTCGTAAGTCAACAATCAGTTGCATGTGGGCTCTTTCTTGATACAGCAGTAGTTGCATCCATTGAAAACATATATCCCACCTGTTAGCTTAACATACAATGTTGGCGTTACAATTTGCACCATTTGCTATTAATTAAACTGAATTTACTTTTATGCATATTTTTATTGCATTTAATTGGTATAACAATTTATGGTCAATTGAGCGTCTCGATATATGTATAAGCGGATACATTCGGTCTGAACATTGAATTCAATGACAACAGTTCGAGATTTCCGCTCTCTTACCGATAGATACCGTATTTTCATCCGACTAAAAAACTAAACTTTTCACGGTCTGCAAATTTGCAATGTTTTCTTATATAAGTGAATTTTTTTTTGGTACGTTGCTAATTTGGTCCATTTGCGTATTTTAATTGGCACCCGAAAGCTTAATGCATCCGTTGACCATACTTTAAAAAAACTGGAGTTGAAAAGCGTTAAGTGCTTGACTTGTAAAAGCTTCTCCTGGGTTAGCTTAACGCTTTTTATTGAGGTTTGCTACCACGTTGAAACTTACATCTTACATAGACTTAAAATATTGCATATATTAAGGCTTTGGATTTTGATTGAGGTTACAGTATACTTTTTGGCGCTATGTTTTCCAAATTGAAAATAGTTTATTTTAAACTTACTATCTTTGAAGTATTGTTCACCTTAATATCGTAAATCAAATGTTGTGTATCGGTTCCAAGTTTAAAATTGTAAATGGTAGCAAATCATAAATTTTAAAATAGTTTTAAACGTAATCTTGTTAACTTAACGTTTTCTTTTACGCTGTATTATTAAGTATCACGTTTACGCATCGTAAATCACATGTTATTCAAATTAGTACATATTAAAGTGGCAATAGATTTTGTCACCTGCCTGCTCAACCAATTGGAATAGGTGACATAAACAAACTTTGTAGATTGTGCAAACATTACATTCAATTTACTAACGAATCAAGTAAATTTGAATTTGACTAGTAGCAGCCGATTATTTATAATACAACCGGTCGCTATGAAGAGAACAAGTTGGATCAAATAAGGCTCCAGTCATTCAGCTAATCTGCTGATATGGCTGCAATGCTCAATACTAACAGATTGCTGTAAAGACGGCCAAGAAGATGGTGAGCTTAAGGCCGTTTTGGCTTGGACCTGGTCCCATCTGTTGATAATTAAGACTCGATTCTAAATAGGCATTGCCCAAAAATGTAGCTTAACTGCCTTAAAATGGGATCCAAAGTGATTGCACTTGCAACATCAACAGCAACACCTATAAAATACAGTTTATAGCTTATGGCTTACAACATTCACAACACTCTCGTTGCGCTTACGGCGGTCCAGAGTCCAGAGTCTCTATCTTGCACAATTCCCAACTCATTTGAGCGCATTATTTTTGAATTAAAATTTTTGAAATTTCGCCCCGTAACTGAAAAAAGCAACGAAAGTGACAATTAAAATCTTTTAACTCTTGACTAGCCGCCGTCGTTGCTTGCATTTCCTTTAGAGTGCGCGAACAGACACTATCAGACCCCCAGGCCCAGGCCATGCCCGGGCCACATCGGATCGGGCTGGGCCGTGTCAGCGCCGGCAAACCTCAATTACAGCAAACGCCGGCAGCCAAGTCATCTACTTTATATGTATATGTATATGTATATGTATATGTATATATCTATTTTAGACAGTACTTGTGTACGTACTCACACACCGGCGTATATGGTGCTGGCACAGGTTGCCAAAGTGGACAATTTAATGTGGCTGTCATGTTAAATGCCAGGCCAATAATTTAAGACTCATTTTTTTCTTTGGCTGTGAAATGGTTGATGGGTGGTATGTGGTCTATTGAGCTCACACATGTGAGGTTAAGAAAATTATTGAAAATTTTAAACGATTAGTTAAGTAGAGTAGGCATTCAGAACGGAGGTAAAAAGAGCCGATTTTGTAGTCTGTCAATTGTGTTGTAAATTCTTTTGGTTAGTCTGCCAAAACTGTAACGACTTGAGTGCACAATGGCATTTTGATTGATTTTCGCCTTGTCCTACGATTCTTTTTCTCTGAATTTATTCAATTAAACTAATTTTCAAATTGAAAATCCACAGCACGCATAGATAGTGATTAACTATTTATTTTTAACAACAGTACACGAAAATCAAAGATAATGCAATTAATGTTTTTAATGATATGCTTTGGACTTTAGTCCAGCATATCTAATTGCATTTCATTATCGGCCATTTAGGCTAATTTGTAATAATTGCGAGCACTTCCGTTATCACAAAACAAATTAGCCACGTATTTGTCTTAAAATTGAACACAAATCGTGTCAATTTCTCAGTTTTGTGCGAAAGATAAAAAAAAAAAACAAGAAACAACAAACGTTTTCGTAAACCACAGATAAATCGCGTTTTTCATTAGCCCAAACTCTCTTGAACACCATTTGCGGTTTGCAAATATATAAATACGAATAATAACTTAATGATTTTGTTTAGTTATTTAATGAAACTATTGTGCTCTTGAAATAGTTAATACCCATCAATGAACCTAAATGAAGCAAAAAAAATGACGCGGTTAAGCTCGAAAAACTCTTTGAAATTCATTTTTTGATGGCTCTATCTGTATTATTGTTTATTCGTTGAAGTATTTATTCGAATGCTCCTTGGCGTATTTGGCTTGCGGATTGCGCAAACATCATTTGCGATTCTTGAGATGCTCGTATCCATGAGATACAATTGAAGCAGGCACACACACGACCCTTTTAAAGAGATTGTCTCAATAGAATCACGTTTTGCATATTGCAAAATGAGTTATAAACATTGTCTTTTGTATTGGTGCGCCATTGACTCATGACACAGCAAACAATAATAACAACAACTACAACATCAAAAACATATACAACAACAATTGAGCTTCCCATATGATGCGTCACTTTTACTATCAGCCATAAAAAATCTTGCACAGCAACAACAACAGCAACAACTGAGAGCGCACCTCGTCAGCCGATTTTCCATCTAATGTTGGACGAGCTTTGCTGATGATTGCAATGGATTTTCATTTTCAAAAATGTTGCAAGCCTTGTTGTTGCACTTGGTTGCCGTTGCAGTTTTTGTTGCCAGCTTTTTATGGTGTTCAAACTAATTTGCGGTTACAAGCACCTGATGGCCTGTTTTTTTATTTTGCTCGTGTAACAAACTGCGGCATCATGCCCTTTTGTTGTAAGGTGGGTGCTTATTGAATAGGAGCAGTGGCTGCCACATGAGTGTGAGTCTGAGTGTGAGTGTGAGTGTGAATGCACCATTTCAAACCTGAACAAAAGTGAAAATTGACTAACATGCAGATTGCAAAAATCGAATTATGGCTGATCTGATTCGGCAGGTAAGCATCGAAATTATATGCATATTGATTTAATATACACGATCTATGTTTATAATGGTACACTTGTCGTGCTGTTAACTTAAATTAGAATCTATGCAGAAGTCAGTTAGCTTTCGAACCATCTTTTTGAATGAGTAAATAAACTAAGGTGCACTCAAACACACACTTCAGAGCAAGTGTGGCAGTTAAACAAAACGGTTCATCTCAAGTGTTTGTCATTGATACATGTACAAGTGTACACTACACTACACTACACAACAGCAGCACCAGCTTTGCAAGTAAGAGGAGTGCAAGAGGAGGACTCTTGACACAGGTTGTTTGTATTTGGTTTTGGTTGCCTTTCATTTGTTGGCTAGCAAAAATTATGAAAAATATAAAGCACTTGCAATTACCAAAAAAGAAACTGAACTGCTAACTGTAAGTTTAAATTTGCATGCAGCAAAGTTCAATAACATAAATTGCAACAGACTAACAGACTCTAGACTCATATTCAATTTTAACTTTAGCCTTAGTAGCTGCAGTTCCCCTTCATTTGGACTGGGGCAACTTTCATGCAATTGATTTTCCATGAACTTCAATTTGCATGTCTCGTTTTCGGTTCGTGCTTTTAAGGCTTTTGTATTTTTTTTTTTCTCGTATTAGTTTTTGACTACTTTAGCCTTTTTCCGCAGTTTTCGCATGCAATTGTCATTGTCATTGCTCTTGTTGTTTATGCTGTTGACCTGTCTGAAGATTTATATTTGCCTGCTGCCCATTTAAAGCACATTATGTAAAATATGCATTGAAAACTGGTTCGCGATTTCAATTTCGTTCACTTTACCGTCCGAAACTAAGTGATTTTTTTTTTTTTGATTTTTTTAGTGTCGGATTCGAATCGCATTTTTTCTTGTTTTTGTTTTTTGTCGGATATGTCCTAGTCACCATTTAATTGGCTAGTGCATTCACACACTGAACGCTATTTCTTTGTATCAGAAATGCTGCTGAAACCCGTCTGCTTAAGAGTCGATGTGGGGAGGTAGGCAACCTAAAAATATATATAAAATAAATATGTAAATCAGAGAGAGAAAGAAGATTTTAATTTTAAATGAAATTTCGACTTCGTATATTTCGACGGCGAATCATTTGCTGCAATATTTTTGTTTTTATTATCGATTATAAACTTAGATTTTATATATGTTCGAAATTAGTTCTTTTGCAACTGGGTTTGCTTTAATGCTCATATAATTTCGTAGTACACCCATCGTTAACTTTAATTTTGCTCAGTGGAATTAGTAGTATTCGTAACTTCCACATTAACAACTTAACGGTAGCGCCACGACATTGCGAGGCAACAAAAACAATAACAACAATGACGACGATAACCACAACAACAATAAAAACATTGAATAAGGTTAGCATCGCATGACACGATTGCAACTATCTCGCTCTCCCTCTGTCTCTCTCTTTCTCTCGCTCTCTCTTGCAGTCGCCCTCACTCTGTGCCCCCTTTCCCTATAGCTATGTAACGAGTTGAGCATGTGAGATAAGCACCCGCATAGCTGTGCAAAACTTTATGACAACGTGGCCCGCAAACGGGCCAAGCCAAGCAGCGAGGCCATTTCATTATGTAAACACACACAGCGTGCAAGGAAAACAAGAAAACTGGCAACAAATCAATAGAAAATACAAAATATTTGGATTTTTTTTTTTTTCATTGATGTAGCGTCTGGTCTGGAATCGGCAATGGGACTGCAAAGGAGACTCCAAGTGAGACTACGACCGTAACTGGGGCGTTTGTCCGACTAACTGACTGACTGACTAAATGGCCAGCCAGCCTGGCTGCATCGTTTGGGAATCTGCTGTAAGTGGTGCAATCGCATCTTTGAGCCTCGAATCGGGTCCAGTTGCGTGTGCGGCTATTATGAATAAACATGTGGCACATGAAAATTGTTGCTGTCTCTAGTGTATTTTGTTAATATTAGCAATAAGCACATTGGTCAGCTTATGAAATGCAACAGTGGTGAAAATGAAAAGAGAGAAAAGTGTTGATTTTGTGCATTTTACAATTAGCCAAAGGAAACACGCTCTACGCAACAAACTCGTATTTCCTGGCCTAGTGTCTGCCAGTTGTCCGGCAACCAACTCGCAGCCTGTGTCCGTCTCTCTCTCTCTCTGTCTCTTCTCCTTTGCAGCTTAACTCCCTGTCTAACAGCTGCCATTTGTAACCAAAAAAAAAAAAAAACAAAATGAAAACAAAAAGAGATGCTTCGTGATTGCAGATTGGTCCCATCGTTGCCCCGAGATTTGACATTAAATTCATGCTAATAACTCAAAGCCCAAACTTTGTGGCTGGCAAATTTTTCGCTTGGTTTCTAGTCGGCTGGTTGCGCAATTTGTTCAACATTTTCGGTGATAAAATATGCAGCTCCGACGAATTGTGTAATGAGGCGCAAATAGGAAAACATCTAGATTTGTATCTTAGCCACAACAACGGGGCGTATGCGTAATAACGCCCAATGGCCAATTGAAAGGCACACAAAAGTGCAAGCTTAATTAGACAATTTCTCTATTATGGGGCTGTGGCATCAAGTGCCTTTCACAACGAGCAATAAACTGAAGAAAAAAAAACAACAGAAAAACAGAAAAACATTCAACGCTCAATTACAGCTGTGGCTAATCAAAAGGGCATTGATTTTTATGAACTGCGAACATCCAAGAGGCGAAGTCGGGGCCCGGCTAATAAATAGATGGTGGTGGGCCAGGCCTGGACTAGCTCTTTGGGATTGTTTGCCCTGGTGATGGCGATGGCGTCACTTGTACAAATCTTTGCGTTTAAGCCAAAAACGTGCTGCAGCAAAAAGCTTTAAAAAAAATCCATCTTTACCAGCATGATGCAAGAGCGCACTGGACACCAGAAAGAAAGTTGAAAGCAAGCAAGCAAAAAAAAAAAAGGGCTCGGATTCGAGTTCGAGTTCGGGGTCCGAGTTCGGCTTTGGCTGTGGGTCGGGGACTCTCCGATGACGGGTCAGGCCTGTGCGGAGTGCGGCCTCGAGAAACTTGGCCATAATGTGCATAATGCAGTTGTTTTTATCGCTTCTCGGTTTTGACAATAAATTGCCTTGGCGGTGGCTTTGCCCGCGTTACCTTTAACGAAGTGTGAAAGATGTCGGCTCTGATTCGATTCGATTGCGCCACTGCATGCACCGGCACCACAGCCACAGCACACGCTGCAAGGTTTTTCCATATTATTTCTTTTTTTTTTTTGTCTATTGCTCTCGGCACCGTGAAGATGTAGTAGTTAACAACGTGACTATGTAATCAGCATCACTACTAGTAGCGGCTATGCTAGGAAGTCGCCCAATCTCTAAGCGGCAGCTGCTGCTTTATTAGCAACCGCTGCAAAAGCAGCAAATGATTTTGTGCCAGACTCGTTTTTTTGTTACGTTTCTAATCAAATTAATTTCGCCAGCTGCACATGGACCGCACTGAGCACACGTCTTGGGTTCAAAAAAATGAGACACAAATTGGGATTGGAATTGGGCCTGGCTTTCCTAATTTGCTTGCACATTGCACATACGCAGAGTGCGCCGGTAGAATATATAGACTTTTACATTGGCAATGCACACAATCATGACGAAACTTAGGTGATTCGATGGGTGAAGGGTTGAAAGTAATAATATGTAATAATTTTTATAGCCTGATTAACTTTCCGAATATTTTTTTCACTGTAAAATAGTGTGTTCAACATTAAGTGCAGAATTAATTTAGATGTCAAATCCTGACCAAGTTATTGCTGTCGAAAATCGATTTGGTTTTGACTAAGATTTTTTGTAACTCCAATTTGATTTTTTTGAATCAAAGAGATCAAACCATAGGTTAAGAGACCTGGTTTTTGAAAATCTGAGCATTTTTGACGAACTTTTGGCTGTGGGAAATTTCGAACAATCCACTATTTGACTTTTTGGGATATCTTTTCACAAATCGCGTTTCCAACTTTAAATGCAGTACAAATCTGTATGATAAACCATGGAAATCGGTTGATGTTTGACCAAGTTATGGGTGTCGTGAGTTTGGGATATCATTTTAAAATGAACTTTGAAATTTTTACATCAAAGTTTTGAACACTATCCGCTTATTTATTATTATCTGAATCTCGATCGATATCGAAATCGATAATGCATAAATAATGGTAATCCATTCTTTAATTCAGCTACGCTACACCTATTTCGGATTTGGGTAGTCGTGTGCACATTTTGCATCGGTAGCTGCGTGAGGGGAATCAACTTTGTGGCAGCTACAGCCACCTGGAGCCGATTGGTGAAGTGCGCAGCGTTCACTACGAGGTGAGAGGAGCCCAAGGCTATCGGGCTCTTATTGCTCAACGGACGGCGCACAGTCGGGCGCATCGGGCTATACAGTTGCCGCTGGCTGATCCAGTAGCTTTTGTGATTTAGTTGCCTTGGCGTGTCATGTTATCAACACATTTAATTGTTTTCGCACGCAGCGCTATATAAATCACACGCAAACAGCATTACAAAAATCACTTAGACATTTGTACGAAGGGTTGTTCAGAGAAACAAACACGTGTTCAGATAAGAGATAAGTTCGATGTATTTTTTTGTATTTATTTGAATACTGAACAATATTATTGAAATATGATGCAGAAGTGTGTACATTGTGCTCCCATTTAAATTTTACAATCGTTTGGTTTCACATTTATTTATTATTTTCAATTGAATAATTGAATTGCAAATATTTGCTTTTATGTACGTATTTTGCAAATGTGAATAAACTCTGGACCTTTTAATATGTTTACGTTAAATGCTAATCAAATATATTCATAAGAAGTGAAAACACACCTAACCGACTATTTGATACTCTTGTTATACGGAATATATTCTCCAATATTATTCCAATACATTGAAAACATTTCAGAATTTAAATCAAATATTGCCTTCACAAGTTGTCCTGATCAATGCTAAAAACTTAATTGGTTTGATATTGTACTTCAACTTTCATGACAAGGTGTTTACTATGAAATTTGCATTAAAAATAAATTAATAAAATGCTCAATAAATATACTTTCAGTTATATTATATAGATAATAAACTCGTCCATGTAATTGGCATTAAAACTATGCACTTAAAAGTAAATAAAAATGAAAATAATTGTAATTAAATGTTCAACTTGTGTCTAATGTAGAACAATTTGCCGGAACACCCCGAACATTTCAATTCAAATCTTTCCCACACGCTACGAGGCAACTCGAGTGAATATTAACCGCCTCAAGCAAATTTGTGTCAATTTGAAATACTTGTATTTAATTAAAGAATTTGTGTAATACAAGCTAAAGTTGTTGCCTTAAATATATACTCTCAATTATCATTAATGTTGTTGCCGTTTTGGCAGTGTGAAGCGCGCACAATTAAAAACTATACTAAAAATAATAATCGAGAACCACACACGCATCCAGACACCAAAAATCAAAACCCGTTGACAATGCGACGGAAATCGACGCCGGTTAATGACTCCAGCATTCAAAACAAACGAAAATAAACGTATATATGTATATGTATATATATATGTTTGTATATATACATATTAGTTGCTGCTCTTGTTGCTGGTGTTCTGGTTTCGCTGCGCTTGCGGCTGCTAATGATGTCGTTGTCGTTGCCGCCGATGTGTTGCATGTGGCAGCGGTCAGGGTCGTCAGTGTTTGCGCTGCTCTGTGATCAATGTCCCGCACCGTCATTTAAATGATGGACCCCCAGAAGCCACAGTTACTTATTACTAATTGATCGGGCTAATTGCGTTTGCCTGCCGGCTATGAAAAGCCGTTCAAGAAAGTACCAATCATGGTTTCAGTTAACATAACGTGGCCGCTATTTCTTTGACAGCTTAACCGCTAACATATGAGTGTTTACCCTTTTGCCATGCAGTGTGCAATTAAGGCTCAATTTAACGCCGCTGCCCCTGTACGCAAGTTTTAAGCTGTTGTTGCCGGAGTCTTTTGATTTTTTGATGTAAGCGCCCCTTGCAGTAAATTTTTCAATTGGTCAAGAGGTCAAATTAATGCCAGTTTTTTGTGTATTTTGTTTTATTCGATTTCTTATTATGTATTTACAAATTTTGGGGCAAGTCTTAACGTTAAAAATTCGCGTATGCTTTTGCGGGGATTTTTCATCTTTCAATTTTTCGTTGCTTGTTTGTGCAACGCTCAACTTGAGTTTGCCACCACATGCGACGCGTTGTTGTTGTGATTGTTGTTTTGAGTCTGCATCTTCTCGAGCAGCTTCTTTAGCTTGTCGTGCTTCTTCAAATAGGCGCTCTTCTCATGTGCCAACTTGTAATTGGCAACCGTTGCCGCTGTTGTTGTTGTTGTTGTGGTTGTTGTTTGCGTTGTTGCTGTTGATTTAACCGTTGGGCTGCTGCTGCTGCTGCTGGGCGACGCTGTCGTTGAGGAGCCAAGAAGTGGCTCATTGGGTAACTCGGTGCGCGTCTTGTGCCTGTCCAGCGCCTCCTCTTCTTCCGCCTCCTCCAGCGGCAGCAGCTGCAACTGCAAAGAGATGATGTGATTATGACATGGACATGGACATGAATATGGGGACATGCTGTATACATGAAAGCAAATGCGATTACGAATGGTGGCGAGTGGTGGTGAATAGTAGGCGTTTGTCTGTCTGTCTGTGTGTGTGTGTGTGTGGGTTTACTCGGTACAGCGATTGTGCAAAAGGTATTTACAAAAAAGTGTCAAAAGCATTTTTACTGTTGTGGTTTAAAATTTTCTTTCTGTTTTTGTTTCGTTTTTTTTTTTTTGGCTTTAATTTGTTGTTGTATACGCAATTTACAAAACGACAACTTGTCTCCTTATAAGTATGCATATCAGTAGCGTTGATAAAACTTGCGATTATCATATTGTCTTACATAGTTCCATGGCGCATATTTATTTGCCTTCTCGTAGGCCTTATATTTTTTAGTCTTCGCATTGTATTTGCCCTGCAGCTTGTTGGGCACAATAGCCGTATACTTAATGCCCACACCAGGCACATACTGAGCAGCCAATGCAGGCACACTCACTGTGCCAGTTCCAGCTCCAGCCCCAGCCGTGTTGTATGTAGGCGAAAGTTGGCCAAAGTTGCGCTTCGGCGGCAGATTGTTGTAGTTGGGTGGCGCATAGGGGCCAGCGGGTATAATCCAAGTGCGCGGTCGAGATGGCGGTGGCAGTACATACCTGAAGGTATAAAAGAAGTACATATTAAATTGGTTAGGATTTCCCTGATTGTAATAAATTTAATTATTCATTTTGCAATTTAGTATAGTGCCCGTATCTTGATAATTATTTGCCAAACGCTTAACGCTTAACGCTTATAACTGCTGAGTTTAGTTAAGATAGAGAAGAAACCTGTTTCTAAGCGAACCCAATTGTCAATTATTCTATCTGTATAGAGGTTCATGATGTAGTATCTTTATTTTTAGTTTAGCTTACACATTTCATTACAAAGTTAGTTTCGTAGAGAAACTATCTCCCCGGTTAGCCGATTAATGAAAACTTACACAAATGGTTTCGGGTTGGGCACATCGTCGCTTTGATCCTCCCAAACTGGGGCCGGCTCGCGATATGGCTGTCGTGGTGGTGTGGGCGTGGTTCGTGGTGGCGGTGGCGCAATGGGACCCGTATTGGTGCCCCAGTCGACGCGTATTGCTTGGCTATATGGCAGCCAGCTGGTAGCGAGGCAGATGACTAGCAGCAGGCAAATTGAGTGCTGCAAGGAAAGAGAACATATAACAAAAATAAAAAATGTGCCAATAATTTTTCGTATTCTACAGCTTGCCACGATTTGGCATTGCCTTGAGAACAAGCGCCCCAAATCAATAAATTGTATTCGTATGCATGAGGCACAAATTGTACGAGTTGCTGATGCTGTTTTGAGACTCAATTAGCCGTTAAGACTTAAGCTTATGCAACTGCAAAAATAAATTGATTTTAAATTCCTAATCCAATTTGTAATTAACGCACCACTCAACCAATTAATTGTGCTTTATATAGTTGATAGATGACTTCAAATAAAACAACAAATAATTGTGTGTTCTTGAACTCGATTATAGTTTTCTAATAATTGCTCGTCTTACAACAATGTCAAGTGTACACAAATATTTTTTTATCAACACTAATTGTTGTATGCTTTGTTCGCATTGTTTGTTGTTTTTCTGTTGCTGGTGTTGTTGTTACATGTGAAAATTTCTCAACATACTAACACTATTTAAGCATAATAATGTATAGAAATTGTTGACATTGTTGAAAAGTTCAAAGTCATTGTCTTCCATGTAGCTTATGATTTAATTGATTTGATAAATATTTATACATGTATTTTTATGGATATGGATAGTGTTAGCTTTGTTAATTGAATTGGTTTGTTAAATAATTGATTTATATATTGATTAATTAGGCTGCATTCATTCCTTTAAAGGCGTAATACTTTTTATCAACTCAAACAGTGTTATTGTCATGAATTAGTTTTATAATGCTACAAATAAATATGTGTGGCAAACTAAGCATTGCTGATTTTATGAGCGCTTATTATTTATTTATTCATTGTTAACATTGTCACCGGTTTCCAAGTGTTTTTGCAGCTAATGATCAATTACGACCCATTAAAAGTGGAAGTGAGCTTTCAAAACGCAACAAAAACGCTGCGAATTAAAATACCAATTAATCGATAGGTGCTAAATGCAAATGACAACGGGGAGCAACTAAAGGGGGCAGCATACCATACTTAATATGCCTTACAATTGCAACACGGCAAAACGCAGACAGCAATAGTAACAACAGCAGCGCTCTCCTTGGCCAATTTTTGTATGTTGCCAATTTGTCAATCTGCGGCACTTTTGACAATCTGCACAAAAAGATATCGATACCAGTGATTTATCGATGCCACCTGCAACACACACTGCATATCGAAGCGGTATCGTTTGCTGTGCATGTGGGAGTGAGTTACTGCATATTCTGCTCGTCTTTATTTTTGCAGTTCTCTTTTTCTGTGCAAAGATGAGAATTGCAAATTGTTGCTTGCAAATTGAATATGTTAACTTTAACTATTTGTCATGCACACGTTAACTAGATTGTATGCAATACTTTACGTGTCAGTCACAAGAAATAAAGTTGGCAACTCTTGCGCATTTAAATAATGCGAATAAAGCATTTTTTATTGCAAATTCATGCAGAAAATCCTGTTTTTCTTAATCCCATAAATCAGTTAATTAATTCTTTCGAATACCTATTCAAATAGGTCAATTTGGTTTGCATGGAAATTTTATATACATTGTAATTATCTCAACGGCGATGTTTTCATTATTTCGAGGTAACAATAATCAAAATTCCAAATCCAGCAATGACGGCATTGTGTTGTGCATGGTAAACTGGAATTTTGTGTATTCAAGCATCGTTGTGATCGATTAACCAAATTTGCAACGCAAAAATATGCAAGTAATGTTTACTTTACAGTTATTTTTGATATCTATGAATTCGTAAAGAGCGGATGCTGACTCCATTAAAATTGTGAAATCTCTGATTATGCTTAGATTATTTTGATAACTGTCCAGCGATGTTGCAATTCCAACTAAATTGTATGATTATGATATATCAGATCTACAAAATAATTATTTTTAAGCTGCATATCGAAATTGAGCGGATTAACGCTTTATCCTATAATTCAATAAAATATCAAAATCAACAGACGAATATCCGAATAGGCCAACGAGTTTGTACGTCCAAGATAATATTTATGGCGCAGCTCCAGTTTGTCAAGACTTGTTGTCGTTTTCAGCCATGAGTAGCATGACGGCATCAAAATTATTGTGCAACAATGGACACTCCATTTTGATCACAGTTTTAGCATGTCTGTGTCTGGGCTCTTGTCACTTCCTAGACATAATTACACTGACCATGAACTTGAAATTCACTTAAATTCGAAGAAATGTACACTTAACCAAATTTGTTAATCCTATTACTGAAAACGGCTGAAATTTAAATGAGCACTTGAGAGTGGTGGCTTAACTATACAGGGAACTTAATTGGTAATTGATTGAAATTGAAATCAGTGGTATTTATAAACACTCCTTTTAAGTTTATATAAGATTATACTCCACGAGAGGCATTTAGTTATTAACAAATATTTGTTGTATATTTTTCGTTTTCTTTGTTTTTTTTTTTCGAAGTGTATAATTTAATTTACCCGGCCCGTGAACCTTATTCGCATAGTTTTCTTTGTCAACTCTTACGGCTTTTAATTAAAGTGGTGAGCACACAATGGGTTTAGAACTGACTTTGGGATTTAGCGTCTGTGAATTTACTGTGCGTTTGCTTGGCGACTCAGTCAAAGTTCCAAAATTACGTCGCAATGAACATATTTATTTTTAAGTACGCGCCAGTTGAATGACCTCCAAAATCGTGCACATTTCAATGGTGGAGTTGTATTAATTGGACGGCACTCCTTCTTTGATATCATCGCCGCCACATTTGGTGTCTCACTGGCGTAATGAGCAGGAAGGCACGCAATCTGTCGATATGGGCGACAGAGGTGGGAGCGGAATCAATTCTAACCACACGACAATAGCCCACTAATTAAAAACAATCAATAAAGTAAAAACGGCTCAGAGCACACAGCATAACAACTACACTGTGCGCATTACACGGGCATTATCATTATCTTTGATTAACGCAGTTTAGCACGAAAATAATCATTTATTATCAAATGACTTGCTCGGCATGGCGAGTTTGCTTACTACTACAGTTTCCCAGCAACAACTTCAAATTAAGTGCTTAGTCAAAGAAACAAAACAACAAAAAAAAAAAAAAGGAAAAAACCAAAATCTGAAAAAAAAAAGATTTTGCGAAATTTTGTGCAGCCAAAATGAAACGTTTAAGTACAAGTAGTATTGCATTTTTTGGGTCAAGCTTAGATTTAATTTAATAGGCAAAGTGTGCAAGGCGGGGGCGCCAGCTGTCCGGTGTGGTCCAGTGTTAGTCTGGCAATCTTTTATCTGGCATCGAGTGCTTGGTAACAACACCAACAACCGTTATGCTCATTGTCTTTTATTACACAACAGCATTATAAACAGAAAATAAAGATTAAAAAAATAATTCGGTGCCGGTATATTTTTAAACGAATGCATTTAGCGCGTTCGCTCTAAAAATCGTAATACGATAATAAGTATGCCATAATCATTTTTCAAACGCCCTAATTGAAATCATTTATTTTTCTATCATGAGGGTAATGGCTAGACAAGACACCTTATAAATATTGTGTGCAGATTTCTTTTTTTTTCCTTTTTTTATCGTGGCATGCGGGCGAGCTTAAATTGCAGTTTAAATATCGATATGGAGAACCAATATTCATTGGGGAATTTTCGGTTGCACGAGTTAACTTTGCTAATAAATATCATTTATGCATTGTTAAGTTTTTGCACGCGAACAATGCGGGTCAGCATTGCATAATGATATATGAATAAACAAATATTTCTTGGGCATTATGCCATGTGGGAGACGAAAGTAAGTCAAAGTCAAAAATATCATAGTTCAACAATGACCAACATAATTATGAAAGTTGTACGGGTTCGATTGGTGGTAAGCAAGGAAAAAAATCAATTCATTAATCAAATCACTTTCATCATGCTCTGCCACAAAACAATTAAATTGGAAATGAGGCGCCGAATTTCATTTTCCATTGTGCTCTTAAGTGTTATTTCATTCATCGGTTATTGTTCAGTGGTATTTGAAACATGATTTATAACCCACCGCATTTTCAATAATTTTTTCTACCATTGGAAAGGGTATACAACTTCAGTTATTTAAATTAGTGATCCCATAAATACAAATATTATAAAAAATATATTGTGTTTTAATGTATTCTGCTGATTTTTAAGTATTTAAGATTCAGTGTGCTGATTACATATTTCCATCTTAGATTACATTCGTTTTGTCTATTCGCTGTCTTATCTCTTTTCAATCTAACATAATTTTATATTAAGGAAATGTAATCATCATATTACCATAAATATTGCATAGTCACATCCATTATTATATCCAGTGTAAGATTGGGTTACAATGACAAAACAGGAAACGTCAGCTTACATACAAATTTTCATTTATTCATATGCTTTCTATGAAAATTTCTTAGACAACTATATCTAAGGAAGGCGTGCTGTGAATGTGTCAAAATTAATATAAAACAAGCTATAAATAATGCGTTCTACATTGTAACCTTATGGTAGTACATAGTCATTAAAATTTACATCTAAATAGCTTTTTCAACTTAAAGCTGAATGAGCTAAAGAGCAAACGGCCAAAGAAGACATCCGGCAGATCATTGAATGGTCAGATAGACGTGTTCTTCGTGCAGTGACTGGCTCGACTGACTGACTAACTGTCTGGCTGGCCTTCAGCTTGTGACTTGAGGCTGACGCTTACTTTACACATCAGTCGAGAATCGCACATTGTACATCGCCCATAAATATAGGGTTTCGAGGCAACAATAAAATGACTTCATCTGCCAAGCAAACACTCGAAGCGTGTCAGGTAATTAGTTACTTTATGCTATTACATCGTCGCTGGTAATGTGTCTCATTTGCATATAAAAAACCAATGACTGTCATGACCTAGCCTAGTCTCTCAGCTGAAAGTCTATTGCAGTTGCTTCTTCAGCTGAGAAGTTCAAGGCTTGGCGAATTGTCGCTCATTGCCTGGCATCCATCAATTAGCCAACAGCAATAGCAACGACCTTGATGGGGCCAGAACAAACAAAACAAACAACTAACTTAATACATCGCCCCCACAAGCAGCCGTACACTCGCAGCGGGAGGCGGAACGGTTGGGTAGCAGTCAAATTGTGCTGTGCAAGTTAGCGTTAAATTCTGACATGGCTTTTTAACGCCAAATACATTTTGATAGCTGTTCGCTGGTAGTTGGTTACATTTTCTCAACTGAGCTCATTTGTCACAGCTTATTGTTGGCCAATTTGAAGGCGCAACATGAAAAGGCAAAAACAAAAGCGAAGCATTCAAACTAGTTTCATGTAGCTGAGGCAGCTAAAGCATTTGTACAAACTGTTTGGCATTAGGTCGCCTATGGGCTTAGTCATTGATCGGTTTTTTTTTTCTAATTTTTGGTATTGTCTGCGGCTGGCTGCATTGCTCGCATTTGTACTACATTAAACACAATACATGGATAGTTCAATTTGGCAGCGGCTTCCTCGTCAGCATTTGCTGTTAGCCATATAATATACAAGTAAGCCCACAACAGCAACCTTGTGTGGCACGTTTTTGAATGTTGTCGGTTGTTGGTATTTTAATTTTGTATATTTTTTTTGTTGGTTGGTTTTTGGATCAGAAATGATTGAGATGATCGGTGTCGATGTCGTGTATCTCACACTTGTAGAAAATGCTTGAGCTTGATGATAGTTGATTGGCGTTGAAATTAGTCTGGTTTTAATGCATGTACAATCTATACGATTACCTCGAGCTTTCTAATTCACATTTAGAATGTCAGCTGAAGTGAGTTGATATTTTCAGACAACTCATCTTTAAAGTTTAGCATTGAGTTTAGGCTGTCTGTTAAAATGAATTTTAGAGCAATGCGGCTTTCACTTCTTATAAATTGAGCAATACTTTCCTCACAATGCGAAGCCAGAAACCAAACAATATAAATTCTTCAATAAATAGCTGCCAAAAATGTTTGTGTCTATGCACTTTGATTAATTGCCATCAAGTTCCCATGCTATTTAAAATGCGCAACAAAAGAATAATCAATACAATTTTATATAGTATATATTTAAACGCAAATTATTGATGCACAAAGATGATTTGCGATGCCAAAAGTCAAACCTAAGCAAACAACTCAAATACGTGGGAGTCAATCAGCCAAAAAATCAAACAAGCGAAATTTTATAAAATGCAAAAAAAAGATAATAAATAAATAGACATTATATTGTTTTCAATTACATACGTATATATAAATATATATGCGAATCCAATCAATGGGGTTAATGAAATTGCAAATCCATTGAATACACAGACAGCTCAATGCCTGTTGTAGGTGTATGTGTGACTGACTCTGCAAATGTATGTATGTGTTTATGATTTGCAAAAAAAATTTAATTCCCAGGCAGATGTAAACTTGACCTCTATGACGATTCCTTTTTGGTCGAGAGAAACACGCAAATGGCGTGTCAATAAATTAATTAAACAAAATAAAATCTGCACTTTTTTGTTTCTGTATATTCTTCTGAGATGCCAATTGCAAGCAGCATCATCGAGGTAATAAATTGCAACATATTTTTCGCTGTTATATGCTTTATGCAGTTGCAGGTCTGATTGGTCAGCTCGATATCAGCGCGGCTCATTGAATTTGTGGCATTTGGGGGCGTAACCGTCGTTTCGCAAAAAAAAAATATTAGAAAAAAATAGGAAAACCTTCAAAGCATAATAACTTGCATTTGAGTAGGGCACTCGTTGCGTCTTTTGGTGGTGGTGCTGCTGCTGCTGTTGCTGAGCTGTATTGCTCAGAGGCTAACGGGGCGCTAATCATAAATCTGCAACGCAACTGCAACGACAACAACAGCAAAAATAACAGCAAACTTCAACTGCTAATCAACGGTTACAGGCCCAAAAGTTAATGCCTGTCAGGCACTTAGCTGTTTGAACTTTTCGACGTCTGTCTGGAATTTGTGTTGTGAAAATGAGGAAAAAACAAAATAAATAAATAAATCGAACTGCTTTCAGGCTGGTCAACAACACAATACAATGGTTCCAGTAAGTAGCGTGGCCAAGAGGTCAATGAGCTACCGTTATTGTTAACTAAATTGGCTGCTGGGCCATACAAAATGCTGCATTTGATTTGGGAGTTTTATTGATTCCAGCTGCGCTTACATATTGTTTAAAAATACAAAACAAACAAACTCCGTTTGATAATTTACATAATTTACGTTGCAAATGTTTGCATAAAATATACATTTGGACCGAAATTGTAAACGATTCACTTAACCGTTTGTATAATTTTATATGCACACAAACTTTGAAGACAAGATCTATGTCCAAGTCTAATCATTTCTTATTAGAAATTATCACAACAACAACCAATCAAATGTAGCCATTATATTTTCAAATGGAAGAAACTACAATTAACATAACAATGAAAAAGTTGATGATAATGGGCTTTGACTCGTTTTCCCATAACTTAATCGTCTGACAAATTATGTTCAATGTGGTAAGAAATATTTAATGGCGTTTAGATAAGAGCGTGAAGCGCTTCATCAATTAAATTCCATTGAGAAATTAACTGGGCATCTGTATAACAAATTGCTTAATCTAACTATGAATATGGTTTCTGTTCAGGAAGTGATTTCGTTTTTGTTATTAAATTGCATATTTGTACGTTATGTATATAAATGCTGCGGGTTTTGCTGCCAAATTGCCAAAAAAAAAAACCAGACAACATTTAATAAAAAAAAAAACAATCATAGAAGGAAAAGATCCGCTAATTACAAAAATGATGTTGCACAAATAAGTATTTTTCTTATATACATACTCATTTGTTGTGCATTTTGACAATTAATGACGCTGATTTCACCAAGAGCACACAAAAAAAACACGTTTCCGGTGCGCATCTGCAAACGGTGCAAAACAAAAGACTTATGACCGAAACTGACTAATGCACATTGACGAAAGCTGAGCTGCTAATAAATCGCGTTGTTTAACGGTATATCACAAATGTAAACATAGCGCAAGAATATTATACACAAAAATCAACAACAACAGATTTGGGTCATTGCCTTTATGTCAATAATTTTTATTTTTACTTTTTGTGAGAGAATAACAAGTACTTGAAGAAGTTTAAGTACCCGTATGTAGCTGCTGCTAATAAGAATATACAGATGTGAAGTGCGATGGGTAACTCATTACCAAAGTAAAAACAAAAGGTTGCAACCACAATTTTTGTATTCTAAGGCATTGTTAAATCTGTTCGCCTTCTCATCCATGATTAATGGAGTCGACGTGCGTGTGTGACATTTTTTGTGTGGTTACGCTCGCTGATTAAATCAGATCGTGCGGCATATTAAATATTTTATTTTCGTATAAGAATGTGAGAAATTACGTACACACAATTAAGAAATATGCACTTTTGTATTGGTATCCAGTTTGCACTGGAGATCGCAGTCAATGAATTTTAAGCGTAAATCGCATTCCATAATAATAAAGATAAGCAGGATCTTTATGGGTTTGATTTGGGTAGTCGGGTTATGAATCACTTTTTACTAATCTCTACTTAAATTAAGTGTACATTTTTTTTTCGATTTACTTACCATTTTGTAATTTAAAACTTTTAATGTAAATTAAAACTTCAAAGCCGATTAGCTGGAAATATTTGAAATGAATTTGTTTGTTGTTATTAAATATTTAATTTTGTTAATTGTACGCATTATAAAAACGTATATCAATTGTGAGGGTCGTTGCCGTTTGGCATTTGATATAAGATTTAGTTGAACACACACATAGAAGTAGACACATGTAATTGTTTTGTTGCTGTCCTCTATAATGATTGTTATTAGTTTGTAGTCGAGTTTCACACTGCACAGCTGTTGCTGTTGCTGTCAGAGTTAAAGTTATGAAAACATTCCCATTGACAGAGACTTCGACTTCGACTCGGACTTGGAGTCGCTCGTAATCATCGGTAATTGTAGACGCACGGCATTGTTCGCATATTGAATGGCGGTGACGACGCCGATGACGATGACGCGTGCAGAGCGCTCAATGCGACAATATCAAATCAGATTTGAAGCAATATCAAATGAACTGTACGCTCATTATGCAATCAGCTTTTCAGACTGGACCCTACTGGCACAGTGAATGTCGTTGCGATGAGATTGTTCCGATTGTTTGTTTGCATTGGATTGGTGACGCTGACAACTTGCAGTCTCAATTGCAAACACTCATGCAAATAGATCTCCGTTAAAATGACAACTGATAATAAACTCACAACTCGTTTTAATAAAATGCTTTCAAACTGACCTAGTCAAACTTTTTGCTCTGCTCTGTCGCCTCGCTGTCGACGTCAACGTCGGCGTCAACGACAACGTCTGTCGCGTATGCGTAAATAACAATTTAAATGACAATTTTTTTCCGTTTGAGGTTGCTTTAAATTTAAAAGTGCGAGTAATTTTAAATTGGTTGTGGTTAACAATTTTTTGTTGGTCTTTCAGTGTCGCAAATTCAGCCAAAAGTGAACACATGCCACGCATTTTAAATTTTAAGTGGCCGGTCTCCGTGTTTGTCTCTGTCTCGTAAATATCAAAGAGTCTTTAAAAAACCAAAAAAAACAGAAGAATGATTGTGTGCTGACCATGTGTGTGTGTTGTACCGGCCATGTCATGGTTGCAGCTCAAACGTGACTATGTCGGAAACCTGCCTGTTTGACCAATATATCGCATGCGAATTTTATAGAGCGGGCGTTCGATGCGACTGAGAAACATCCCTGACTCAATTTTATTATGGCTCAATAAAGTTTATATTTTGATACGTGACTTAGGTGCAATGGTAACGAGAACTTAATTCCATTAAGTTTTGTTTTATTTACATATTTGAGAAACTAGTTTGTTTGAGATGAGTTAATGTTTTTTCTTTTTATTATTGTGTAACTTGTTTTCAGCTTAGATTAGCTGCACAGCTTGCAAAAAACTAGAACTAGTACTAATTAAAACTAGAAATGTATTAGATTTGCATTCTAGTTCTTGTACGATTGATTCCTTTTTCGTGTTACTTCTTAGCCCACTTGACAAACACTAACTTTTCATTCTCAATTCACTTATTTGAAAAAAATATATAATCTACCTCTAAATATTTTTTTTGGCTTTTTTTTTTGCATTCATAACTAAGTGCACGCAATTATCTACAAGAGTTTCCGGCATAATAACAGCATAACTACACTATAAGTAAGTGCCTACTTATGCACCCAAAAAGGCCTTTAAAAGCTCATTTCAATGTTGTTGCTATTAAAAATCTGTTTTTAACTTCACATAATATAAGGTTTATGTTGTTTTAGTTTCAATTATTGTGCCGAATTTCCCTTCATTTTTGGTTGTCGCTCTCCGAAGAAAAAAATAAGAAACACACACACACATTGACGACTTTTGATTTATGCGGCCTTAAAAATTGCAGCTAGCCAACGTTCGAGGCGATTTTTAAATTATTATTTGATAATTTTTTTCTTTATTTCCTAACAACATTTTTGCTAGTCAAATGTTTTGTGCGTGCAACAAGAGTCACAGCAACAGCGACAGCGACAACAACGCCTCCTTTTCAGGCTCTATCTGGCTTTGATTTATTTGCATAAATTTAACACGGCTCTGACAGCAGTTGAGTGCTTGTCTTTTATTTATTTATTTTTTTTTTTGCTTGGGCTGGTGCTGTTGCCTGCCTACAGGCGATGGTGCATTGGCACACGCAAGTTTGTTGCCTAAGTCTTTTGTTATATGCCTTGTGCAAGGAATTTTTATGGGCTGGTTGCTTGTTGCTTGAAAGCGTAGAACACAGTGTTTTTCTGCATGTTTGTGGGTCTGTCTGTTTGTCATAATTAACACCATTTCATGCAACTTAATTGGTTTTTATTTAAATTTTTCGATTTCTTTGCTTTTTGCAATTTACAATTTGCATCATCAGTTGACACTGCACATACGTTGTTTGTTTTGTTGTAACTGCTGCTTGCTGAGTGTTTTTGAGGTTTTTTTTTTTTTGTTTTTTTGTTACTTGTAATTGTGTTTACCGAGGGCAGCACTTAAAGCGTGACAAAACACATTGGCGACACGGGCCACACTGAAAGCAGCAAATGTGGTAGCATCAGCATAAAGTCTCAGGTCTTGGGTCTCCCGACTGCGACGCTGTTCATCAGCTGAGTTGCCGAGACGAACAAGCACGAGCCATTTGCCGACAGCCAGTTCGGCAGTGTTTTTGATTTTGTTTTTGTTTTGATTTTTCATTGTTGCCAGAGCGGGTTTTTCATACATGTGCCTGACTCCCTGTCTGACTGCCTGCCTGCCTGACTGCCTACCGCCGCCTGCTTCTGCTGTTGCAGCTAAAATGTTGCTAGGGCAGCTTCCGGCTGGATATATTGCTGGCGATTTTCGACATGTTCCTTGCCGTTGTCTCATTTACATTAAATGAAGCTTGTCGACGTGTGAGCACATCAATTGTAATTATTTTTACATATTGTATTATTTAACCAGAACATTGATTTTTTATTGCATTATAAAGAGAACTGCAATCAAAATCCAAATGCGTTATGTTAATGTTGGTTATATGCGTGCGCGGTAGGATATCAAGTTATTGCTCCGTTTGCGTATATTTTAAAATTTAAATTAAGTGTGCGACACGTGATGCTCTGATCTCTTTTGAACACCAAACGTTTTCAGGTTGGCAAAAAAAGGCCTACGTTTCAGCCTCATTTGCATTACGTGAGCGACATTGAAAAATGAAATATACGCATTAAACGAAGGTTAACGTATTTAAATTTCTACCAGTTGCCCTTTGCGGCAAGCTTGTCAACGTCTTTTCGGACCTTAAAAGTAACTAATGATATCATCAAACATTTTAAGAGTCGTAAAAATCACATAATCTGCCAGCAATCCGAAATTCAATTGGTAATTTGTATATTTTGGTAAATTATTCACCATTAAATTGTATGAGGTTGCAAAAGAATATAAATAATGTTATTATTCTTATGAGCATCGTGAGATTGATGTTCAAATCTGATTTCCTCATTCAAATGGCTGAAATCATTTTGGAAACGATTCGTTGCGCACTTTGTGGGCGTGGAGACATACATATAATGTATCTTGTATATGTAGTTCAGGTTCAGGGCACTTAAGAGGCCATTATTAAAAAATGTAAATATAATTAAAAAGCCATATCAATCAAGCGGACGACCGATTAGCATACACAAGTTTTTGCAATTATGTATTTGTACCAATAGTAAATCAACAGAAATGTCTGCTAAAAACGCTTTGGCTTGACAAGTTGATTTTATGGCTGTGCTCGGTCTTGGACAAAACTGGTCTTACAAAAGATCTCTATCGCATTTATGGTCTTTTTATCGTTATTTTACAGTTTTGCTTTTTTTTTGTCATTAATGTTGTTGTTGTTACTCGAATGTGCTTATGATTGATCTGATGATTTTGTGGACCGTACAAGTGGCAACTACTGCTTACAGCAGTTTATTTTCTTATTTTATTTCTATTTTTTCAATATTTTTTAGAGAGTGTGGGAGAATTTTTGAGGCGAAATAATCTGATGGTAATTTTTGTAAACTGTCGAAAGTGACAGGCGTACAAATTTATGATATTATCAACAATTTTAAGATTGGGCAAGGCTTGCCAAATGTTTGCCAGTGAATCACACAGATATTCAATATGCATCAGATACCTTGCTTCGAATGTGATTAAACGTATTAAACTCCATAAATTTATGAAATCTAATAAATTTTGCTATTAATAGATAACATAAATATACCGAGACATAATATACTGTTGCCATTGGGTCTGCGATCGCCTAAAAGTCTGTCCTTTGAAAATAAGATGCTAATGTATTCGAACACCAGATCATTAAACATTTCCAAGTACTTTGTGCTCCATATAGAGTTACACATCATGTTTTATGCATGAGGCATTTGAGTGCTACTAGTCCTCACATTTAGCATTGTTTTAACCAAGTTGTCATAATTTATAAATACACTGCCACCCGGTGTTGAGGTTGTCAACTCGCACGGCCTACAAATAGAGAGTTGTTCGGTCGTATGCTAATAGTACGAGTACACTGAAAATATTATTGATCTTGAACGCATGACTGAGTGCTGCATATATGCAATGGATAGACATGACCGTTATTTTCACAGCTACAACCAGATCTAAGTCGATGGGAGAGTAGAGAACGAATACCGCAAATCAATATGCAAGCCAATAACCCAACTCAATGCCTTTGGAACATTTTTTAATGAGCGCACATTCATTTATCTTTATTAGTAATGGCAATTGGCTGAGATAAGAGACAGATAGACGGACGGACGTACTGACGGTCTCTTGGACAGCTGAGCAGTTTACGAGTCATTTTGCAATATCTTTGTTAAAATTGTAATACGCTCATTTAAGTTATTAATTTATGTAACACATTTCTATTACTTCTAACCACGATTTGTCGATTGTTTGCTGCACTTAACCTTTCTGCGCACAATTAAATGCAATTTCTTACGTACAATCTGGATTAAATAAATTGCGAATTGCATTAAATAAATTTCTTGTCTTGTCTGTCGAAGACCAAAAAAAAGAATAAGCCTGGCATTATAAAAGATGACATTTGTATGTAATTTTTATATAAGCACTTAAGATGATGTATGATGATCATGTGCGTATTTATGTAAATGTCGGACTAGACCGATAAGCCACAGAGTTCTCTGTGTAGCGCCGAAAGTCGACAGTCGACAGCATCGAGCGTATCGGATTTGATTGAACAGCTAATTAATGATCACCGGATTAGTTTCGAACAGCAGCAAGAGCGAAACTGGTAATATCGCAACTCTCGTGCGACAAGTACCCACAGATTGGATGCTGTCTGCCGCAGGCAGCAAATTAATCAACGCATAAGAAGTTGTACACGGTGTGGCGGCAGCGTAGGTGTCTAGATCTCAATTCATATATTTCCAGATAGGGAAGTACATATGCACCTACATTTGTTTTACTTCAACAAGCAAGCAATTCTATCTTATGAAATCGAAAGGAGTTTGTCAACTATAAATTTTAGATAATCCATTTGCAGTGTAACACTCTAAGTTCAAGGTAAAATCCTGCCAAGACCTTGCTTTTTATATTAACTGCATTCTTGAAAGCAGTTAGAAAGTGGAAATTGCATTTAAGCTTAGCTTAGATTTTGTTTTCCGGACAGTTATCTCATCTTCAATCAAAGATCAACTACATTACACATTATAAGCTCACGTGTCTCACTCAATGATTAGGATCGCTTTTGATGTTTTCAATTAAAATTTATATATAATAGCATAACAAAGAAGAAAAGAAGGAAAATGCATTTCCAGCTATATAAAATACACAGAGTTAACGTGAAACAAAAATAATATATATCGAAAACCATCGCTTAAGAACTATTAAAATGGCAATTTGCGAGAGCGCCTTCAGTTTAGCCGGCCCGATTAAGGCTGGCTTTTAGTCCTGATGCGTTGTACTCTCCTCCAGATTACAGAACACATTGCGCATTTTATCTAGATCCGGCGGCGCCGTATCCGGATTGCGTATCCACATAATGTACGCCTGTTTGTCGGTGCGTGTGAGCGGCTTAAAGTTACGCGGATTCTGTGCCTCCTCATCCTGCAGCTTGGAGTTGTAGCGCGCATACAGAAAGATGCGATAGCGCCAATTGTCAAATGTCTGCTTCCATTCGGTCACATGCTTCACAGCACCCTGCGGCACAGCATTCAGAAGATTCGCCAGCTTCAGCCAGTAGGGATCCAGCACGGGATCATTGCGTCTATGATCATTAATGAACTGATGCTGCTGCAGAAAATGAACGTAGAGCTCCTTTTGACGCTTCGACATACGCTCCTTGCGTTCTGCAAATACAAGTTCAAGAAATGCATTTAATTTGTGAAATATTGATAAGAATAATCTAGAGAAGAGTGCACAAGTAGAAGCTACTCAGTCTGGGGTTGGAGATATCTTCTTTGGATTTTTCATACATTATAACCATTAATATGAATTATTTTAATATATTACTATTTTACTTTTTTTTACTTTTTCGTGAATTGACGATTTTGAACTTACGTCGAATATTATTTGTGCCCGTTGTGGCAATGGCCATGTTAACTACTTGCTGCTGTTGCTGCTGCTGTTGTTGTTGCTGCTGTTGTTGTTGTTGCTGCTGCTGCTGTTGCTCCTGTTGCTGCAGCAGCGCCAGATGTTGTTGTTGCTGTAAATGCTGATGCTGCTGTTGCTGCTGCAGCATGAACTCATGCTGTATGCGCTCCTGCAGCAGCTGCTGCTGCTCCTCCTCATGCTGATGGTGGTGCGGATGATGTGTCGGTGGCGGTGGCAAAGGCAACGACGGTGGCGGCGCCTGTTGTTGCAACTGCTGTTGCTGCTGATGATGCTGCGAATGCGGCGAATCCGGCAGCTCATCCTGCGTATCATAGTCCATTTTGGGCGTGCACGGATCGTAGGCGGGCATGGCCAGTTCCACAGATGCAGCTCCACTGCTGGCCTTATCGATGCGATACTTCATGCTCTCCTGTTCATCGTCATCGCAGTTGGGCAGCGTCATCACTGTGGCTGAGGAGGGCGCTGCATCTATAACACTGCTGCTCTGGCACAAATTGGTGGGCTCATCCGGCGTAGGTGACTCGTTTAGTATCTTCTGGGCACCGCAGCGACAATGCGGATGCCCCACATAGCTCTCCAAGGCACCATCGTACACTGAAAACAGTAAAACAAGAATTAGATAAAAGTATTAAAATAAAGATCTTAAATCTAAAGTTCGATGGAAAAGTAGATTATGTTCGATTTCTGTTTGCTTAAACATAATGTATTTAGCGCTTAGCATTAGTTAAAGTACACATCATCATCATCATCATCATCAACATCGTTTTGATTATCATTAACATTTTGCACTGGTTCCGAATTGCCGTTTCGATGCTCAGTAGTCGTAGCTATTGGTTGCCGTTGTGCTCTCATCCAGCGGCACAAACATATCCATTTTATCGTAGTCCGGCGGCGCAATGTGTTTGTGACTGGTCCACATAGCGTAGGCCTTCTGATCGGTGGCCGTCAGTGGCTTAAAGTTCTTGGGATCGCTCGTCTCCGACATGCTCAGCTTGGAGTTGTAGCGCGTATACATGAATATGCGATAGCGCCACGCATCGAACGTCTGCTTCCAATCCTCAACATTCTTGACAGCGCCCTGCGGCACACTATTTAGCATATGCGCCAGCTTAGCCCACAGCGGCTCGGTGAGTCCATCGTGGCGGCGATGATTCGACAGCATGCAGGGATTGTCCTCGAAAAACTTGACATACAACTCCTTTTGGTCCTTGGACATGCGCTCGCCGCGTTCTGCAAGTAAAACAAGACAACCATTTTTGAATCCAAGATTTCCTTCCACTTTCTTCTCACTTGCGACTTACTTCTAAATCGACTCATTAGTCCGGGCGTATAAGGGGACTGTTGTGACGTATTTGGAGCTGTCATCGTCGGCAGACTGTGCGTGTAATTTGCGAAGAATTGCTGGGTGGGCAGCGCATGCTGCAGTGCCTGTTGTTGTTGTTGTTGCTGTTGGTTCTGCTGCTCTTGTTGCTGTTGCTGCTGGGCGCGAGCTTGATAGCGTGCCGCACGCGCCGCCCGCTCCGCTTCGGATTCAGACTCTGCTTTGGGTATTATGTCCATGGGATCTATGGACTGTGTTAGCGATTCGGGCGTTCGCTCCGCATAGGTTTGAGTGAGTCGCAGCTTTTGCGCTGCGTCCGCATGATCCGAATTGGAGTTGTTGGCATGATCCAGCGGCGAATCGCCTGGCTCATTGCAAACTCCCAGAGCCGGTGAATTAGGCTGTGAGCCGGATAACGCTGACGCACCAGCCACATAGTCGTGGGCATGGCTTGCACTCTCATTCGAACGCTGCGGCAGTGGTACATGGTGTTGATGCTGATGCGGATGTGGATGATTGTGTTGATGTTGCAGCTGCTGCTGCTGTTGCTGCTGTTGTTGCTGTTGCTGCTGTTGCTGCTGCTTGAGGGCAGCCATCGAGCAGGATGGCTCGTAGGAGAGCAGCTCCTTGGCATGGCCATCGTCTAGGGCTGCAAGAGGGAGCATTTTCAATGTGGATTTTATTACAAATGCAATTCGCAGAGACTTACAAGCAAAGCACTGTTTACGGTTGCCGCGTCTATATACACAGATCAATATATATACATATACTGCATGTATACATATATAAAGGTTTATCGGCATACATATTTAAGTATATGCATGCTTTGGTCCAAGTTGTGTTAAATGGCTTAAACGCTAGTGAAAACTAAAACGCGATCTAAACTTATTTGCGTAGGTTTTGCTATTTACCTTGACTGATTTCTATAACGAAATTTGTGAGGTCGTGACGTTGAGCCAAATAATGCAGCAGCAGCTCATCGGGTATGTTGAAGCCAATCTTTTTGTTGCGAAACTCAAAATTATAGATCCCAAATGCGGCGCGAACTGCAAACGGAAGAAAACGTATGCAAAAAGAAAAAAGCACACACAAATTCACTCAGTTCCAATGTTCAAATACAGATTTGATGTATTTTATATGCTTTCATGCATAGGCATATACAAAATATCGGGTGTTGCTCTCGATACACACATATTAATGGCAGTCAAGTTTAACGACCTGCCCTGGGCCTTTGCCTTTGACTGTGCCTGGGGCGGCCAGGCCCCAAAATCGACAACAGCAGCAGTAGCAGAAGCAGCAGCAGCAGCGTGCGCAATAGCGCCCCTGTGCCTGCCCCTGCGCCCGCACCTGCGCTCAACCCTACGCCCGCCCCTGGTTCGTTTGCAAAGAGGCTTACCAACATTCTTCAAGTCCCATATGTTCAGATTCCGATTCTCTTCGGGCACGCCAATCATCAGCAGCTTCTTAGTATCGCGAAATTGAAAAGGAATTATAATTCCCGATCTTAGCACCATTTTCAACGCGCCACCACACAATTTTCACAGTTTTTCATAAATTTTCCACGTTTCGCTTTGCGGCTATCTTCGTAATTGTTTTGGTCTCTGTCCCTTCCTTGCCATTTGCATGTTTTACTTCTTCGTAAACAGCACAGATCAATCGATGGTTATCGATTAGTGTGGTATCGATGCTTTGTGCGCACACCGCAATAGCAGCATACATCGATTCCGAAAATTTTGGTGTTTATTTATTTTTAACAATTGGTTGCATTTGTTTGTCATATGCCTTATTTAATAAAAACATAAATATGTATGTATTTATTTATTAGTAGACAACTTACCTTTAAAATGTTATCGCTATGTTATTGCTTAGGTGAGTATGGAGGTAATGACTAATTGAGTGCAGCCCTAAATAAATCAGCTGTGAAATAAAAAAAAACAAATTTCACTTTCAAAGCGATTTCATTCACTGTTCCAAAAAAAAAACAAAGATATGCTTGAGAACTGCCAAAGGCACCACATGGTCTTGGGACTGGCCGCCCTTACCCTGTTGACCATTCTGGTGCTCATAATCGAATCTCGCTACGCAGCCGAGGGCGGCTCGGCGCGTCATCGGAGCCAACAGTTTGTGATTGAGAACAATGCGACGTGCTGGAAACATGAGACGTATACAGTGGTCCAGGAGTGTCATCCCTGCTCCGAGTTCGACATAGTCAGTCGCAGTCTGGGCGTCTGTATACACACTCACTTCAAGGAGGTGCTGCGCTGCAAGAGTGGCGAGATTGTGACCAAAAGTTGTGATCGCGTCGCCCTCATCGATCAGCGAAATTTCATCAAATTCGAAGCGATTGCATTTCTGATTGGGGTATTCAGCTATTTGGTCAGCTATGCCAGAGATCGCTTCTTGTCCCGGCGAAACTATCAACGCATCGAACGTCAGCTGAATCGGGTGCAATAGCAGTATCAGGTGAAAGAGCAACAACAGGAGATTCCCCCTTCGAAGGATACTCAAATTTACATTATTAATTGTAAACGATTTTGCATAATTTATTTAGCTTTAAGTACATTAAATTCACATACACACTAATACTAGGGGGAAGGGGAGGAATGTAAAATATTGCGTATATTGGGAATGCAGCTGTCCGGAATGAAGACAAGACTGGTCAACACATTGTGGTGCTTCTACAAAAAAAAAATGAAAATAGAAACGGATAACAAACTATTTGCATGCCAATCCTTATGTAAATATAATAACAGAAATATATTTCGACGGTTAATTGCGCCAGTCGGGTATCAAATCGGGCTCAGCGCCTTTGGCCGCGGTCGGTGGAGCTGCGGTGGTGGGCAGCGCTGGAGGTGATTGCTGGGCATCGAGGGTGTCCTCGCTGGTGGTGCTCGTATTGCTGCACGCCTTCAGCGAATTATCCGTCATGGGCAGCGGCTTGGCAACACCAATGCGAACTACACCCTTGGGTGCACCCTTCAACGCCTGCACCGCCTGATCCAGCGAAGCGTTCTCTAAATTGATTGAGTTGACAAAAAGCAGACGATCGCCGGGTATCAGCCTGCCATCCAGTTGGGCAACGCCACCGGGCACCAAGGAGCGTATTACAATTAGCGTATCGTTCGAGTCCAACGGATCCTGATAGTCGAGTATGGAGAAGCCCAGGCCTCGATCACCCTTCAGCAGCTCAATGATCTGGGGCTGCGACGACCACATGGCCAGTCCGGTGAGCGGCTCCAGTGAGCGAGATTTCAGTTTATTGAACGAATTGGCCGCAACGGCCACCGAATCGGCATCGGCGACCGAACCGGCTGTGGCCAAGCTGCCATCGGATTTGGCCTTCACCAGTCGATCGGTGGCCGGCAGTAGATTCTCAAAGTTGTTGCTGCTCAGCTTCTTGAGCGTATCGTCGGAGAAGGGCAGCAGTGAGGTGACCTTGCTGCGTCCGCACACCATGCGCACATCTAGTGGCAGCTCCTTTAATATGGCCACCACTTCTAAATGATTCATGCCCAGCAAACGTTCCCCGTTCACCTCGAGAAGCTCATCGCCCGAGCGAAGAACACCATTGACGCCAACGGGGCCATCCGGTAGAATGGAGCGTATATAGTGATGTGGACGCACTTCGCGTCCGCCCTCCACATCGACGGTGCCCTCGAGCGAGATGCCCAAACCGCCGACGGCGAACTTCTTGATCTGGGCCACAATCACCTCCATGTCGGCGCCAACAATCTTTTGCCACTTGCGCACAATCTCCAACTCGATCTCCTCACTCAGATCCGGATCTGTGTAGTACTTGTGGCGTGTAATCAAACCGGCATTCTTCGCCTGTAATGGAATTTTGAATGCTGCATGATGCGTGATGGGATCAACTGGAATAAAAGGAATTACATACCTCTTGTTTATCGGCCAGCTGCATTACCACATCTGTGGGTATGATCGTGGGTGTTCCTTCGAGCGAATCCCTGACCGCAACCAGTTGTTTCCCGGCGCCAAAGCTGCTCAGCGTTGTTGTCGTTGCCAAGGAGCTCGACGGTGGTGTTGTCATCATAAAAGGTTCCGGTGCAGGCAGTGTTTCATCCAGCTCCAGTTCCCTGGTGGTCGTGGCAGTCGAAGTGCTTGCCGCTGACGTTGACGCCGGGGGCGTGGGAAGGGGTGCGCGCGATGGAGTGCCTGGTGTGCTGGTGGGCGGCTTCTCGTTGGCATTGGCGGCAATCGCCTGCTGCAGCTGCTCATATTTGGGTCCGCGCAAGTAGCGCTCGAGACGCAGATTGACCACCTGGCCAGACTTCTTGAGCAGCTCGACAGCCTGATGATTGGAGTAGCCTTGCAGCGACTGGCCATCGACTTCGATAATGCGATCGTTGACACGAATCCGTCCACTCAAATCCGCAGCGGAACCAGGCGAAACGCTCTTCACAAAAATGCCCGAGAGTTCCTCCTTCTCGCAGACATAGCCGGCGATGGTGATGCCCAGTCCGTTGGCATCCTTCTTGAGCTCCACCTGAAGCTTCTCGGTCTCAGGCAGTGCCAGTAGCTCCTCCAAATCAATGCTGGGATCGATGAGCAGCGAAGTCTCGCCGCGATAAATGAAACGATCATCCTCCGTCGTCGTTTGTGGCGTCGATGCAGTTGAGCTCTCGCCAAAGATCTCCGGATAGCCGGTGGAGATGAGATAGCGTTCTAGCTCGGCAGGATCAACGAGAACGCGCGTGGGCACCACAGCACTGCCCGGCTCCAGGGCATATTGTGGCGTCGGCATACTCTGCTCGATGGGTCGCACCACGACGAGCCGGACATGCGTGCCCGATTGCCTGAGGACTGCGGCCACCTGCTCGGACACCATCTCGTGCAGATTAACATCGCCGATCTGCAAAATGTGATCGCCGGAACGCAGTCGTCCATCACGATCCGCCACGCCACCCTGCAAGATGGTCTTCACAATGACGCCCGAGTTGCGTGCCCCAATAATGCCAAAGCCCAAACCAGTGCCATCGTTGACCAGCTCAATGGCCTGGATTTGAGCGTAATCCGTTGCATATAAATCGGCGGCAGCTGACTTGGAGTTCTGGCTCTGTGGACGCGGCTCCACCTCACCCGTGGACGTAGACTTGTCGGGACTGGGCGGAGCCGACGAATCATACATAACATCGCCACCATTGAGGCTAAGCACTAGATTCCCAGAAACATCGATGTCAAAGTCATTAGGCAGCATGGACGGATGTTGGCCGAGCTGGATGCCCAGCTCATAGAGCGACTCCTGCACATGGGCAATTGTGCGAAAGACCGGATCCGTTAATATGCCCAGTATCGTATTCAAACTGTCCGCCGTTTGCATTTGCAGCTTGACATCCTCCGACTCATCGATGCCCTTCTTCACGGCCTCGATTTGCTGCAACGCACTTGACAGATCCGCACTCAAATGCATTTTCAACGCTGTTCAACTTGCTGGCTTGGTGGGTGCAGTAGCCTCCACAGAAGGCACTTAAGCGTATCGCTCGTATTTCCGGGTCAGAATCGACTGTTGAGTGGTGAGTGGGGGGCGTATTGCACAGTTGTCAGCTTGTCTGTTTGTCCCTGTAATTGAATTATGTAGCTTTCTCTGTATGTGAGCTGATTGTTGGATACAGCTTTACGGATTTAGTTTTGATTGAGATTGAACACAATTGCATTTGCTGTAATTAAATATATATTTAATTTGTGTTGCACAAAATCATTATTCTTTGTTGTTTTTCTTGCTAGTTTTTAATTATGCTGTGCTTTACCTGTCCGTAGCAATGAACACATATCGATATATCGATATACAATTAAGCAATTCGTCATCGAGAAGCCTATTAACGGAATGCTGTTAACAAATGCTATTAACGAATGTTAAGGTACAACATTCAACATTCAATTTTTATTTGCACTGTTAATTATATAAGTTACAGCCATTTACTGCATTTGTTTCTTCTCCTCCCGCTCCAATTCCAGCTCCGACTTGCGGAATTCGCCGAAGAATTCACGTGTCATGGCTTTCATGCCTGGGGTTAGGTACTTCGGGAATATATCTGTAAATAAAACTTGATTAGTCAATGAAATGCAATCCTTGGTTTTCTTTGGGTAATCCATTTTACAATTAAACTCAATAATTAGATCGCCAAACTCATCGAATTTCTTTTTGGCTGGCTTGAGGGCAGCCACTGCATCTAAATTGCGGCACTTGGGCAATCCTTCGAGGGGCAAAATCTTTTGGTAGCCCGGCTGCACCACATCCGTAATGACAATCTTCAGCTGACGCTTGTCTAAGGTGTGCACATAGAAGATGAAACCGGTCAAAGCCTGACAGATGCTGATATTATAACGATAGACCAAATCGTGCATATTGCGTCGCTCGAACTGAGGATGCGGCTTGTCGGCGACAATGAAAATTATGTCACCCGGAATGGTGGTGGGATAACGATCTCCCTCCTCCTTGAAGCAATAGCGTGTGCCGGCCGTGGTTCCTGGCTGTATGATCAGCTTGAGTGTGTGCTTGCGCTTCTCTAGGCGCGACTCCTTCGCATCGACAATCTCCTGACGCCAGACATGCATCAGCTTCACACAACCCGTGCGTACCTCCTCCAGCGACAAGTGAATAATGCGCTCCGTGCTGGCATCTTTGTGGCGCACACCAATCCCATGCTCCCTGGTCGCATACAAACTGGGCGGATTGGTGACGGCATCAATGACATTCGCATACGGCGAGTAGCTGGAGAAGACTTGCTCGTAGACCCTCATGTGATCGCCATGATATTGATAGGGCGGAAAGTAACCATTTGGCAGTATGACACCCTCAAAGAGTCCCGCCTCCCCGTAGCGATCGTAGATGGCGCGGTAGAGTTCATTGCCCAGCACATCGAATGCCATATTTATGTACGCCCACTGTTTCGCCTCACCCATGGGCGACAAATGCGTCAGTTTGCCCTCCTGGGCGAGTGGCACAAAGTCCTGCTCATATCTCCGATCCCGATGCGGACAGAGACGCACTGCGAGCCGACGATAGGCTAGCGAGAGTTGCTCCTTGGTGGCAGTGCGTGGCATGTCTAGCACAGCATAGTAGTCCAATTCGGGGCGATTCATTGTGTTTACAAGTAAAATATATAAACCAAATATAAACAATTTTCGATTAGCAGAGTAAGTGCACGTGATTTGCTTGATATTTATTTAGAATGTTCCCGAGCAGCTTACTAAATACTATGAATTTAAATGGGGGTTGAGTTTACTCAAATTATATATACAACACTTAAAGGTGATTCAAAATGCTTGGATGAATCTGCTAATGTACCACTCAACAAACTAAATGGATGCAGACTGTAAGTTAAATCTTATTGCGTAAAAGTATAACATGCAATCAATCATGGAGGATCGATCAGTCAACGTCCTCGGTGCTAACGCCAGCATAAATGGGTTCCTTCTCCTTCTCCGGCTCCTCTTTCTCCTTCTTCTTTGACGCATTGACTTCGCTGGATTTATCTGGCGATGCTGATGAATCAGACTTCTCTTTATCATCGCTCTTATCCTCGGGCTCATCAGTGCAGAGATCGACATCGGCGGCATTTGGCACCCAGAGACCCGAGTCTACGCATCGTTTCATGTGATACTTGGCCTGATCCACCGGCATCGTGGCAATTGTCTTCTGCAACAGCTCAATATCGCGCGACTCGAAGCAAGATTTTAGTTCCTGTACCAAAATACACATCTTAGTTTCATACACGTTTCAATGTAACTACAATTTCACTCACATCAGGCAGGGATTCAAAGACATCGGCGGGATCTAAGCCACCCGGACCCATACGAGCTTCCCGCTCCTCAGCCTCCGCTTGTGCGATGGCCTCGTCTAACTTCTCCTGTGCCCGCTTCTCAATGCGTCCTTTGAACGCCTCGATTTCGCTCTCGAATTGCTGACGATACTCTGGTCCGCATTGCTGAATTTTCGTGAAGAATGAACTGACGCAGGAGCGTGGATCCACATCTAGCTGCTTGGCCAGCTCCAGGATGTACTGCATGCAGATGCATTGATGTGCCACGTGAGCCATCAGTTCGTGCTTTTCTTCCATTTGCAAATTGATCGACCATATGACCAAATAATTGGCCGTATTCTCGCCCACCAGCTCCGGGTGATCCTGTAGAAAACGCTTGGAGTCATCATATTTACGCATCATGCCATACTGCTTGCACAGAGTCTCGTTCGCTTTGACAAACTCTTTCATGAGCTGTCCACGCTCCTCTTCGGTTAGATTCTCCTCCGGTTGGCGCGGCACCTTCTTGTTAATTACGGTCTTTTCGAAGCCCGGCTTGCTTATTGTGTCCACATTCCACGGTGTCTTCTTCTCCTTCTTCTTAATATCATTTTCCAATCGATCGAGTTCTTTGCCATCATTTTCGATTTTAGTCAGTTCAATCTGAAATGCGTGAAATCTATGAATCACTTTTTTAAGATCTTATCGGTTGACGCCCTAATGTACCTTAAGTGCCGCTTCATCGCCATCTTTTTTGCTGATACGCTCCTTGACATCCATGAGGCGAGCCTGGTAGCTTTGTCGCTTTCGCTTCAGGTCCTCCTTCTCCTTATCATATTCGGCCATGCGTTCAACTCGAGCCTGGTGTCGCCACCGGAACAGCGAAGCCTTGTCAATGTTTGGATGTGTGTCGTCCTCATCGTCCGAAATCTGCAAATGATACTACGATAATTGAATTTGTTATAGACATATATTTATATTTATTCACCTCAATGTTTTTCCATTTGCTATAATCGACCATCTTGATAAAGTAAAATTTTTCTTATGCTTTATGGCAAAATCTAGAAACTTAGTGATGTGCAAATATTAACATATCGGTATAAGATTGGGTAGCTTGATATCGGCGCCTGGCACAAAAATCTAAAGTATCGATGCTTGGGTAATCACATACACAAATCGCACTTCTTGTCGATAACATTATCAATAGCGATAGCTTTGATAGCAATATTGTGAAGGTTCGGGCAATAGCGCGCCTTTGACACCAATTTGAAATTTGGGACACACGGTTAAGGTTAATGTATGCAGAAGACAAACAAACGAAATCAACAGGAAACTTACGTTGTTCTTGCAATGCAAACAACCAAGAAGCAAATAAAGGGCGAGGTTAAATGCATTTTTAATGGCAATGTCTGAGACCAAGGCAATGTCTGAGACTAAGGACTAGAAAACACTCACAGTTCATTAACAATGGCCAGCTATTATAGACGCAAAAAGCCGGACACGGTATTTCTGAATGCCAATCCCATAAACAGCAGCAATGCACAGGCCTATCTCCAAGGTGTGCGGAAATATTCGATTGGACTTGCCGAACGCTTGGACAGTGGCTATCAGAAACCATCCAATGATAGGAAACGCAGCTCCGTGACCACAGTGGACTCGCAAAGTCTCGGCACTTTTACGCCCGTAAGTGAAGTCAGTTCTGTTTAATGGAAATATAAGTAATATAGGTGTTGTTGTTTTCAGAGTGTTTTCTATCGCAATATTGCACCTGTGAATTGGTTTCTGCGGATCATTGGTGTCCTGCCCATAGTGCGAAGTGGCCCATCCCGGGCCAAATTCGCTTTAAATACGGCTCCTTTTCTCTACTCGGTTATTTTCTTCACTCTGCTGGCGGTAAGTGATTTTCTTTTTTTTTTTCCAGAATAGAGAAATATTTGGTTAATCATTCTCATAAATCATCCAGTGCTATGTGGGCTATGTGGCTAAAAATCGTATTCATATTGTCCGCTCTCTCAGCGGCCCCTTCGAGGAGGCAGTCATTGCCTACTTGTTTCTGGTCAACATCCTTCCAGTTATGGTCATTCCCATTCTCTGGTGGGAGGCAAGGAAGATAGCGCGTCTGTTCAATGACTGGGATGACTTCGAAGTGCTCTACTATCAAATTTCGGGGCACAGTTTGCCGCTAAATCTGCGCCAGAAAGCGATCTACATTGCCATCGGTTTGCCGATTATCTCTGTGCTATCGGTGGTCATCATTCATATGACCATGTCGGATTTGAATCTGAATCAAGTGGTGCCCTACTGCATACTGGACAATTTGACAGCGATGCTCGGAGCATGGTGGTTTATAATCTGTGAGGCAATTAGCACAACTGCTTATCTTCTGGCCGAACGATTTCAGAAGGCTCTCAAGCACATTGGTCCCGCTGCCATGGTGGCCGATTATCGTGTCCTGTGGCTACGTCTGAGCAAACTGACTCGCGACACTGGGAATGCTTTGTGTTATACTTTTGTTTTCATGAGTCTCTATCTGTTTTTTATCATTACACTGTCAATTTATGGACTGATGTCGCAACTGTCGGAGGGATTCGGCATCAAGGATATTGGCCTAACCATAACGGCACTATGGAACATTGGATTACTCTTCTACATCTGCGATCAAGCCCATTACGCATCGGTGAATGTGCGCACGAATTTCCAGAAGAAACTCTTAATGGTCGAGCTAAATTGGATGAATATGGATGCTCAGACGGAGATTAATATGTTTTTGCGAGCAACCGAAATGAATCCATCGAATATCAATTGTGGCGGCTTCTTTGATGTAGATCGCTCGCTCTTCAAGGGCCTGTTGACCACAATGGTCACCTACTTGGTGGTGCTTCTGCAGTTCCAGATTAGCATTCCAACGGACAAGGGCGACGGCGACGGAGATGGCAATGCAAATATGACCGTCATCGATTTATTAATGGATAGCATGAATAACGACATGACCGTGGTTGGACACTCAAGCACCACCCCCGGCACCACCGCAGCACCCACGACTACCACAAATACCACAACAACACCAGTAAACCGTTCTGGGGGGCGTGGCCGAAAGGGCTGAAATGGGTCAAGGTAAAGGCTATATTAAAAGATAAAAAACAAATAAAACGTGCACCGCAAAACTATAGAAAATAGAATTAATTTAGAGCTACATAGAATAGTTAAAAGCGTCGAACGTTTTCTTTTAAAATTAAAGCACTAAATATTTTGTATAATTTATGATACCAATTAAAAAGCATAATAAAAGTTATGAGCTAAATATAAAATTATAAAATGTTAGCATTTCTTTTAATCATTTCAAATAGATTTGTATTTGAATTCAACGGTCGAATTTAACCGGCTAATGGCAAGGTTCTAATTCAAAGTTGAAACGCGAGCAAAAGAGACGACTATACAAATAATTAATAGCAAACATTATCTGGACTGCACACACTTGATCTAATTTGGCGACCCACGCGCCGCTTGCCGCAGTAGCGCATTGCGTAGCGTCTCGAACTGTAGATCAGAAGATCGTGGTTCAAACCCCGAGGGAAAATCAAAAGAAGATTTTAATCATTAACCGACTTAACTGGTTTTATTCTTTGCTTTATTAAAGTTAAGTGAAATATTTCACAACTATTAAACGACTAGTGTTCTAAAGTTTAAATTATATTAAGGGAAGATTTAAAGCACTACATTGAAAATAGTTTTGTGAATATCTAGCGTAGTAGATATTGATATTGCTAGTGTTCGGCGTTCTGTATATGCTTATGTATTTTTGTGTATATATTGCCATAAGAATATAACGTCTACGTACATACTTTTTAATCCATTTTTTATCTAAAATAGTTATCTGTGGTTATTTATTTATTTCTTTTCCATATCACACACGTTCCAAAAAAAACGCCAACAAATAATGATAAGCAATACAAAATACTAATCGAAATTGAAAGAGAATTTAAGACACTTGATGCTGGAAGTTCGATGTCAAGGGTAGGATTAGGAGAGAGGAGATGATAGTTTAATAGTCGCAAGTGGTTTTAAATCTAACACTGTCCATCCGGCGATTCAGTTAGAATGTGTTTGTACCCATTGCTGCCCAAATACATGTGCTCCCTGCGGAACTGATATGGAATCTGCAAAGAAAGCATATCACTCAGTTCTAAAATTACGAAGTAAAGTTGTTCCACTTACTGCTCCTGGTGCTGGACAGGGTATAGCCACGGTGGCAATCTCTCGCAATTTATTCATTGTGCGTAGACTCTGATAGAAACTGTGCATCACATACCACTTGAAGCCATCCATCAAAAGAAGCGAGTAGCAGATGATAACTAAGTAGAATAAAAACCAATGATCTTATGCCTGAACATAACCTTAAAATACAATTTTGTCTACTCACAATACAAACACTGTCCGCCAAATAGCATTGGCAATTTGGTATCCTTTAGCATGAAGATAACAACGCCAACGGCAATCACGCCCAGAAATTCGATTACCAGCCAGGGTATTATCAGACCGGGCTTATTCTTGTATACGCCAAAGAATAGAGTTATAGCGCTCAGTGCATAAATAGATGTAATACCCGCCAGGACATAGAGTGCATTTTCGGTGGCATCTGCCAGTTGGGCAGCCGTCTTGAGTCGCATATCATTGTGGAAGGGTGACATATTATAGAAACCACTATCCTTCTGATCCAATATATCCAAATCGAGCAGATGACGCATTTGCTCCGCATGCGCCAAGCACAGCAACACCACAAACAGAATCGAATGAGCAATGAGCTGTGCGAAATTGAGATTGAGTATGAGGATTAGCATAGAGTCTACGAGTTGGAGTAGTTTCTGATCCATCACTGTGCTGATCTTTTACGGGGTAGTCAGAGAATCAAGCAAACATTTTTATCTTTCCCGCTAATAATTCACAACTGGTTTTAGCACAGCGCTGACCAATACGCACATTGTTTTGTGCTCGCATTTAAAAAGGGTGCTCGTCCTGGCATGTTCCCGTATTAGGAACTTAAATGCAGACGCATTGCGTCATTGGCCCAATCCTACGTTCCTTGAATGGGGCGGGGGCGTGCGCTGAATTGCCGCCTTTGTTGGGATCCAATGTGCCCAGTGGGGTATGGCTTTGCATATCCAGTGCGTAATTTTTGTATTTCGGGGCAGGCGGCTGCACGCTTTCTGAGCAGCTGGATAGCAGATACTTCTGCGTGCCAGCAGCTCGTGCGCTGCGCCCCACCTAATTAATGCCTTACGTAATGGATTGTCTGAACTTACCAGTTGGTAGATGCTTGTCAGCAGTGCTGTGGTGCGCAAATTGCGTGGCGATATCGGCGACATCAACATCTCCCACATGTGGTGGCAGCAGCTGCTCCACTTGCCACCCGTTCGCACCTTGGGCAGCAACATTTTCCAAGCGAAAGGGTTTTTCCTAAAACTCTGCCTGAGTGTGTTTACTTTATGCAATCAATTTATGGATTTTTCATTCGCCTCTCAACTTTAGTTCGTGACTACTGTTTCGTCATCCAATTGCCAATGAAGCTCAACGGGGGATGAGGCTTCATTTGCGGCTCCCACGTATATCAGCCCGAAAAAAAAAACAGCAAAAAACCAAACTTGGCAAAGCTTTCGCGGCCGAGGCGACACTGCAGAGAGTCACTACAAAACAGTCAATCCAGCAGTTCCAAGGTCTGTTTTGATACTTGAAAAGCTTTTTAGATGTTTGTTTTTCTCTGCCTTGTGGCACATACCCTTTTATTGAGTCGCTATCTTTGTTTGTTTCTACCATACAGCTGTTATCATTAGAGCATATTGCATAATTATATTACAAACTATTGCATGTGTCCAGCGACTGATCTGATATTTTATCTTTTGAATATTTGTAATATCTCAATGATTTATGGAGATTTTTACACAGTTAGTTAAATTTTGTTGCTTATATTTTTTATTTAAAAAAAAGCCTCTATTCACATATAAAATAAGTGTATTTCAGATTCACTAACCCTTAACGACAGTTGTTATTCATTTAAGGGTTGGTTTCGTGCTCGAAAGCGAGCAGAGCTTTTGTGGACGCAAGCTTCTTGCGCGTGGCGTTGCCAGATCTTGGCGGCACATCCGAAAATAAAGCAATTAAAGTGTTTCCTACCGACAACTGAGAGCCGGAGCTGGAGCTGAAGCTGGAGCCGTTTGCTATGATAAATTTTACATTTTAAAAGTCAATTTACTCTGAACTATAAAAATGTAACATAAATTTTAGTAAAACAGGCCATAAAACGCCAGCCGGCCACAGGGGAATGCGAATCAGAGTCAGCATTGGACTTACAGTTGAAGTCCGAATTGGAGTTGCAGTTGAAGTTAAAGTTGGCGTTGTATTTTGGCCAGTTTGGCATTGCCATTGGCAACTGGCGCTCCTCCTGTGTCAGCTACTTGCACGCTTAATTGATTGTTTTTCTACGAGCGCGCTGCTGAGGATGATGCCGGCCAAGAAGAACTCACAATGTTTCCGCCGCGACGACGACGACGATGATGATGATGCAGCTGATGAAGACCTGAGGGGCAAAATATGTGCTGTTTGTTGCTGCTATTGCTGTGGTTATGCGGCTTGTTATCATTGGGCGTGTTTTATTAACTTTTAAGCTGCATACACGCGAGGGGCCATAAAAAGTGCAACTGGCGGTGGCGCAAATCCAAAAGTCAATTAAAAATTTTTTACATTTGTTTGCACACAACAACAGAGCTGAGAACACACACTCGTTGTCTGTTCTCCCTGTTCTCAATGCGTGTTAAGCTTGAAGCTGGAGCTGGAGTTGGAGTTGGAGTTGGACTGGAGACCTGGCGCGATAATCATAACTGCAAAAAAGTAAGCAACTACTTCGCGCAGGCGTCGCCCGCTAATAATTTATGGCCGCGGCCTCTGAGGTTCGTGCTTCAAGTATTGAAATATCATCTTCCAGCTATTTGGCGTTCAATTTGCGTTCGCAACGCTTTTTTGATTGGTTTTTCGCCTCCCCCTCCCCCCAACCCCATCCCCATCCCGACATCTACCGAAGAACATATACTGCCTGCTTTGTCTTCGTCTGTCGATCCCAGCTGCTTGGCTACAAATTGATTGCCTTAAAGTAACTTGTAAAGTGCTTCTAAGCGCGGTGCGAGCCAACTTCTTTGGCCAGTTGGCCTTCTCGCCACTTTAAACGGCTAAAAACAGAAGCAACATTACAAATGTGTGGCGTTATTGCCACGGGGGAGGAGCTGCAGCAGCAACAGTTTCAGTTGGTAGAAGGAGTAGCAGCTTTGCTCCGTCTTTGATTAAAAATAAGAAAAGAAAAACATTCGACGAGTGGGAGCCGATGGAAAAGCAATCGCTGTTGTTAACAAGCATTTCAGCGCATGACAATTGGCATGCACACCTCCAGGCCATTAATATGCTCCCGACACGAGTCTCCACTCCACTCATTCTAGTCGGAGCCGTTGTAATATCGGATTGGTTGCTCCTGTCATTTTACTATTTGTAATTCGATCTCTTGGGATCTTGTTTTGCTTGGTTATTTAATCACTGAAAATTGTCGAAGCATAAATAACATTTTCTCGACTTATTTGCACAATTTGTTTGCCTGTTTTGACAGTCTTGCTTAGAGGCACAAAATTGATACAGATATGGTAGCCAGATAATCCAAAGTGGCCAAATCTACTGCTGCATAAGCCAAAACAAAATTAGCAGCGGCTACAATTCGATATCATTCAAAGAATTTAATAATTGATTGTATGATATTGCCACAAAATAAATTTCAGCTAATTTTTTAAATATCTTAGAAGAAATCAACTGAAAAACATAATAGTTTTCAGTATAATTAATCCACTAATTAGATAGTTGCTGCGATTTTTAATCTATAACATCAATTAGATTTACCAAAGTTCGTTTGAGTAAAGATTTGCCAGGCTTCTTTTTTTATTATTATTATTGAAGAACATATGTCAAATGGGTTTTTATTCGAATAACTTCGCTGTTTAAGTCTTTGTTTAAAATGTATCATATTTACTAACAATCTCATCATCTATACACTTAAGAGCAATTGTGGCAATTAGGAATTGTGCTCACCGTCACTCAAGTCAAGAAGGACGTGCGTGTAAATGTAGCATTAAGCATGTCACGTTGTGGAATCCACATATACACATATTTACCCAATATATCAATTGTTACACATACGTATTTGCATGGGCCAAACAATAAGCGAAACTGTCTCGGAATCGAATACGGAATTCGAATCGAAATTTTGTGATTTGTATTGCTGCTGATGTGAGGGTCGCGAGATTTGCTTGTGACACTTGTCAGTTTTTCAACGTGGGCGCCATTACGCACAATGATGAAGATGTTAGCATTTCCGATTAAGCGCAGCACTCCATCAACCCTAACCCACAACCCCCACACTCTAGAGCGAGTGAGCAAAAACAAAAACAACAAATAACAACAGGCAACGTTTGGGAAACTTCGAACGGCGTTTACAGTAAATCTCAAGGGTGTGTTCAATTGTGTCAATTTAACGCCTTTTAGGACACCCCGCCAACGAGCAGGCACGTCGTGCGGCGAGTGAACACCACCCAAACCACCCACCAAGCGAACCACTCGCACACTTCAGGTTTGGCCAGGATCTGCAGCTCATGTTGGGCATATTAATTATTGCATTCGATGCTGCTGATGTTGCCCAGTGTGTGAAACGCTGCAAAGCAGCATTTGTGCAGTGTTTAACCCGCTCGATTTGCTCCACAATACAGAGTGTTAATTACGCCCCAGGATCTGGCAGAAGGATAGCCAGGATACGCTAATATTTGCATATGTATGTAGTATTTGCAAAATGGATGATTGCTTTGCGTTTAACAAGCGTGAATATTAGTAGTGGCCTGTCTAAATATTGGAAATTGATAACACACTATCATGAATGCATGCATGCCATTTATCCTTTTCAGATTAGACGCTGTAGAGTAGAGTCCTGGTTCTCGTTTGTCGTATCACCCACAAGCTGCACCCGGATAATAGACGGTTTGCAGTTTGCGATAATTTGTGGGTGAATGAGCAACAAATTGCAATTTGTACTTTCTGGCTTTGATACAGAATTAATATATATATCAATTTATATAACATATCCACTATAAATTATGTTAATTACACACACTTTGAGACACAGATATAACTTTCTCATTCTGACACGCCAATCTCAGGTTCATCTAACCTATTTTATGCCTAGTTATCCATTAAATCTAATCAATTTCTATGCAATTGTAACTAAAATGGAACTAAGTCTATAGGCATTTTATTAAAGAGACGCCGTCAGTGGGTTTTAGTCCCGAGCGGCTCAGGAGGCGGCACAGAGTGCAGCTCTGGCAAATATCCTTGATATCATTTAGTCAACTGGAAAAAATTCAATCAGCATACTTGGCAAATATTCAACAGTGCTCGCAGCAGCGATTGTTTGAGTGAACAACGGGCGGTGGATGGTTGGGTGGTTGGGTGGAGCAGGCAAGAGACACGTTTAAATAGGGGCAGGGGGGAGGGGCGGTCGTAGCGAGGGCACATTGCATAAATCAACAGCAAATAAAATGCTGATACGCTGAAAGTTCGTCGAGTCTTCGATGCTGAAACAAAACATGCGAAGCGGAATCGGATTTGGAATCGGGCAAAAATTCGCATTCACGATAATTGAATTTTCTGTGTGCTGTGTGCTGGAGCAGGAATAGAAAATGCTGAAAAAAATTATACGAGATAGAAAAAGACAGGGAGAGAGATAGAGACAGCGAGAGAGAGAGAGAGGGGGACTCTGTGGAGGCAGCCAGCCAGCAGAAGCAGCAGCGTGTCCAGCGATGCATGCGTCGCACGTAGCCGGAGGAGCAGTCGAAAAAGTATGGAGACGACAAGGATGAGCTGCTGCTGCTGCTGCTGCTCTGCGCCCATATTATGTGCACAATAAATAGACGTGATCAGCATGCCCAAGGAGCAGACAGGCAGTCATCCAGCCAGCCAGCCAGCCAGCAGCTAAGTCGTTCTCATCGTCGTTGTCGTCATTGCGCTTGACTGCGCGGCCGCATCGCTGGCTGCATGCTGAGAAGGAGACGCACCACGAGTGAGGAAGCACTTGAGAGGATGCTGCTTCTTCCCGGGACTGTTTCCGGCTTTTGTTGCCCAAAAGTGCTCGACAAAACCTTTTGTGTCCGTACAACCCTCCCTTTTGTTATGTCTGTGTGTGTGTGTGCGTGCGCTTGTGGGGGTAGCTAAGTATGCCAAATCCCCCAAAAATGGGCGCTCCAAAATGTGGCAAACTTGGGAAAAAACAAGGCGAAGGCGTCGAACTTTTTATGTTAACTTACTTTGTAGTTTCTTCTTATTTGCAACTTTGATTTTTGTTTATTTTTGCTCGCAGCAAGCCCCCCCGAAAAACGCATGACACGCAAGGGCTCCAGAGCGGCAGGACACGCACCATCAACACCACCCACTACCCACCACCCACCCCCGAGGGTGAGCAAGCGAGACGGCAAGCAAAAAATGGCGACGGGCGCCAAGTTTGCACAAAGTAAAAGGAACAATTTCTGCGCTGTTTAGCATGGGAAATTTTCATGCTCAGGCTCTTGAGTTTTTCTTTGGGGCTCTGCGCTTTAAAATGCGCCATTTTGTTGTTTGCTCAGCTCTGACACTCCCCTCCCACTCCCCTCG